TGATGTTTATGCCGAGTATGCTCATGGCGCATACTCAGAAATTCTTGCTGTCCTAGTATACATCCGGATATTTCTTGTGTACACAAAATTCACATACTGTGCAGTTGGAACGCACTACATACTCATTTTGATGTCACACTTAGTATGAAGAGCAGGTTAGTACGCTGTTCCGAACACAGCCTTGTTGTTGAACTGATCAGCGGATATAATACAGAACTGTGACGTGCTCTGTAGACTTGTTTCCATGGCAACAGTCATGTAGAAACTGACTCTCCAGTGTTCAGATGATATGGATGTGTGATTGTGGCTGATGTTCCAGACCTACAGTGAGATGACTGTGGTGTGTGAAGATGAAGATGAAGATGAAGATGAAGATGACCTCTGTGGTCGCCTCTCTAACTGCTACATGCAGAAACTGAATAATATGAATGGTTTCTGATGTGTCGGGGTCATCCCTCCTCTGTTGTCTGCTGGTGAGAGGCTCAGTGTTTATCATGTTAGTTGACAGTGTTCCAGCTGACTGTGTGTGTGTGTGTGGCAGGCTGCAAACACACACACACAGTCAGAATAATCCAGGGCTGATGTACCCCTCAGCCGGGGCAGTGTAATGTGGCCATGCAGTGAACGCAGTGAACAGCTGGCTCTGTGTTCTTAAAAAAGATGGACCCACAGCACTGATGTCAGCTCAGTTACCTCGCTGTGGTCTGTCAGGGTCAGAGTTGTAGTTGTCCTGTTGGACCACAGGCCCTGACGGACAGACTCCTGCAGGAGGTGTGAACATCAAGCAGCTTGTTCAAAATGAAGTTATTTTAGAAGACACAGCTGGACACAAAGCCCCCACCTCCCACACCTGACCTGTGTTATTCTCCTGCTCCCCATCCCCAGTCCCTCACTGGTTTCACTTACTGGTTTCACTGGTAACTGGTGTTATTCTTAAATACACAGCAGGCGATCCTCCTCATTACTTGTACTCTGTACTTGGTACAAGTAAGATGGCTGACACACACAACCAAGATTTGTGTTGTCCCGGGTCATGGAGGTCGTCTCACTCTGTACTGATGAAGCAGCTGGAATCGTCCTTGTGTAATGTGCTGTTCATGCTAACAGTCCTGTCTCTCTCTCAGTCTGGGCTCAGCAGCTCTGCATGGCTGCGTGGCAGACTCCAGGTACAGACCATCACCACACACACACACACACACACACACCCACACACCTCTGTTGCTCTTAAAATATATTTTGAAATAAAATGGGATTTTACATGTTAACTCATAATAAACAGTGTGACTGTGATGTCGTTGCCTCCAGTGGAGCTGGTGGGTTGACTTACCATTGTGTTTTTCAGCTGTAGACTGTAAGTGTAGAATGGACATTAAAATGTATTCATTATTTATCTTCTCTTTGTTTAACTTGAAGTAAGAAAAAAGAAAAACAACTATGTGGAGAGCTTCTGTCCACTAGGAGCATCGTTAACCCTTCCTGATGCTAACGAGGTCTTCACTGTTATTGGTCAGACAACAGAGCAACACATCAGCTGAGATCACTCATTCACTTTTTGAATATTTTATACTCACTGAATGTCTGAGGGCAAACAGACCAACAGGTGTTGTAATGCACCGTTCACTGGTTACAGCAGGTCAGTGGTTAAAGTCGGTGGACAGTGTCATGTTGTCCTGTGCTGTGTTCAGTATCAGTGCGGTGTAGAAGGTTTTATTGGTTAAAGTTCCTCTTATGATTCATATTTAGTTGAACATGGTTTTCCCACATAAAAAGTCTCATCTCCTCTTACTTCCTGGTTGAGAACCTGCTGTCTCCAGGTGGACAGGTGAAAGAGCAGAGAGTATCAAGATGGTTAGAGGAGGAAACATCAGAGAGACTCAGCCACATGTTTGAGCCTCAGTCAGACCCAGACTCAGATGAGGAGTCTGTTGAGACCAGAACCAGAGACTAGCAGACGTATCAGAACGGTTAGCGCAGTTAGCATCTTTTATTTGGCAGTGGCTGACACAGTGTTAGTGGTTGTGCTAATGCTAACTCTGTCTCTGTACTGACAAGGTTTCAGGTTTATTTAGCCCCACCCCCCGTCCTCACATCTTGACAGGATTGGTTCCTTAGGTTTGTGACGTATGAAACCCTGGCTGTCTGAATCTGTTTTTATGAGACTGTCATTGGTTCACTGCAGTTCAGGGTGGAAACACTCAGTCATGTTGTTGATGATTATTTCACCCATCAAATGTCTTGTATTAGATAAAAACATCATATTGATGTTAACAAGGTTGAACACTGGATTTTCATCAGAGGGGGTATTTAAATCAGTACCAGCTCATGTCTCCTCTATCAGTAACATCAGTAACATGTGGAATCATTCAGCTGTGTGCTTGTGTCATGTGACTAGTGTCTGTGTCTCTGCTGTAGACAGAGGAGGCGTGGTGTCAATGTTTCCCTCTCCAACATGTGGTAATCACTGTGCAGCCCTGCATCCTGCATCACTACAGCTGACGTCAGTGCTCATAAGTGGTTTCTGTTCTCAGTGTAAATAAACCTGGATGGGCTGGGCTGTTGTTTGTGTCCCATGATATTTTAATGATCATATGACCTGAATATGGGAGGTTCTTATTTAATGGTGTTTATCTAAAGGTACACTTAATGTTTTTATTTGAATCTTTTACTGAGTTTTTACAACATGTACAATTCAATTTAATATAAATTCAGTTAAATTCAGTTAAATTCAGTGCAATATACATTCAATTCAATTCAATTCAATTCAATTCAAAATAGTATACATCCAGTTCAATTCAATATAATATAATATACATCCAGTTCAATTCAATATAATATAATATACATTCAGTTCAATTCAATATAATATACATTCAGTTCTGTCACTCCCTCCAGGAAATAAACAACACCACGATTCGTTGTTACTGATGGATTCATCTTCTCTGCTTCAAACAGCACCATCATCACCATTGACACCACCACCACCGTCCAACTCGCTGGCTGCACATGACCAAGAGGGAATGAATCGACCAAAAATAAATCTTAATCTTATTAATTCAGTTGTTAACATTTTATAAATCATAAATAAACAATTATGAACAATTTATAATAGTTTTCACACATTGATGCAGGCTCACTATTTGGCAAGATCAAGTTAATGCTTTATACACATTAATCTTACTAATCAGTTACTACCATTTATAAATGGTAAAAGGAGCCTCATAATAACTCATTAATAAATGATGAAATGTTTTACACTGTGCAATAAGGCTCCCTTTTGCAAGCTACAAATGTTTGTAACTGATTAACAAAATGGTTGTAAAAATGAGAAGAAGAAACATCAGACATGATGTCGCATGATGAAGCACACAGGTACAAATGCTGGATGATGGAGAAAACAAAGAAAGCTCAGTAACTAATATTTGTCTTTGCTGAAGATTAAGGAGGTACTCCTTTTTCCACCTTGTCCAGAATTTGTTTGCCAAAAACTGCACCTGACGCCATCTCTTGCGCAGGGCAATATTATGTTTGACTTCATCATGAGAATGTGATTGGGAGATAGAGGCTCAAGACTCATTGGATCATTTAAGTGCTCTGCTGTGATATTTACAATAGCCATCACTTCATACAGAAAAGTTCTAAGAGAAGAACTGTCAAGTCCTGAAGGAAAATGTTACAACTGAAACACAGGTGCAAACTAATTTCCTATGTCCGGCATATAGCATGTGGCGTCATGTGGCGTAGTGGTCTAAGCAGGTGCCACATGTGTTGAGGCTACAGTCCTCGCTGCAGTTGGCCCCGGTTCGAGTCCTGCCTTGGACGGCCTTTGCTGCATGTCAATCCCCCTCTCTCTGCCTCCCCATTTCCTCTCACTCTACTGTACTATCAAATAAAGGCATAAAAATATACTTAAAAAAAAAAAAGTTTAGCTCAATCTAATATACATTCAGTTCAATTCTTTCATTTATTTTATTTGTATAGCACCAAGTCATAACATACATTATCTCAAGGCTCTTTACAGAGTCAGGTCCATGACAGCTGTGAGACCCTCATGATGTTCCCTCCCCGCTCTCATACAGCAGCCCAGTCCACCTCGTCAAGTTGAACCTGTCCTGTGCCTCACCTGTGATGAACTAAACCAACCAGAGCAGCATGTTCTGTCGATGGCTGCCAGTAGGTGGCAGTCATTAGAGCACCAACACTAACTCACAGAGCACAGACCTGTTTGACTTCAGCTCAACCAGAACAAGATTCTAGGAGAACTGAAAAAAAATGCAACATTTTTTTTTTTTTTTATAATTTAATTTGAAAACAGCTGATGTCTGAAGGCTTTAATCTATGGTGGCCCTGGGAGCTCAAATCACTGCTACTTAAGAAAACACAAACAAATACTATATATATAATATAATATATATAATATGTATATATGTATATATGTATAATACATATAATATATGTTGTGTTCTTGTTATTTGCCGCTGTGTTTTTGGATTTGTTGTTGTGCTTTTTAATTTGCCGTTGTGTTTTCCTATTTGTCGTTATGATTTGCACTTCACAGTCACCGTATAGACCGGCTTAGTGGTGCGTTTTCCCTTGGTTGGGGGGGGGGGGGGGTAATGAGGTGTACAGGAAGGAGTGGATAACAGCAGAGCAGAGAAGATGTGTGCTGCTCACTCTCTCTCTCTCTTTATCTCTCTCTCTAATTGCTTTGTCTCTGGAAATATACTCCTTAATGCACCCAGGACCCATCACACACACACACACGCGCGTGCGCACACACACTGACCATCATTACCGCGCAATCCCATGATGCATCAGTCTCAGCCTACAGCAATAGGGCGTATTCTCATGTACCAGATGAGAGCGAATGTGTGTGTGTGTGTTTGTGTCCTTTGTACAGTTAGTTATGGGCTGAGTGTTTTGTGTGTGTGTGTCGGGGGGAGTGTGTGACACCATGTTGAATGTCGCACCTGCCACACTGAGAGCTCATCATTCTCTTGCAGTGGACAAAAACAAATCCCGGGAGACTCCAGCCAGACCCACAAACACCAGCAGCAGCTCCCAGGTAACAGCAGCTGCCGGAGGAAGTGAGCAGACCCAGCAGCAGCCTCCACCTGACCAGGTACGCACTCTTCTGCTCTCAGGTTTTAACATGCAGCTCAGTCCTGAATCAGTGCATACTGATCGATGACAGGAAGTCAGAGCTGTGTTGTCTGTGTGTCCAGTCTGCAGGCTCAATAATCCATCCACATATATTTCATATAATGAAATATGACGGATAGTTTCTCTGTAAACTCTGACATCACAAGAAACTGACTTCTTCTTCTGTTAATAAAAAAGTGTCTATACTGAAGGTACCTGCTGTCTTACAGGTACCAGACCTGGTCAATGCTAATTTACCAGTAACATCAGTTCTCCCAGTGCTTGTCGCTGAGGTCACCAACACTGGATCAAGCACCACTGGAGCCTCTGGACTTGGGTTCAAAGCAACAACCGGATCACGATCCAGCCCCAAAACAGGATCCTGTGTACAGAATGCATCTAGACCCGGACCCAGGGCTGTGGTGGCGGACAGGACAGCGAAACAGAACCAGAGCAAAGAGCAGGCAGAGAAGAAGAACCACGCCATCCTCCAGCTGAGGAAGCTGCTGCTTCAGGGGAACAAGAGAGTGGAAGCTCTGGCCACAGTCATCCAGCACCTGTTCACAGAGGTACACACAGACGTACACACAGAGGTACACACAGAGGTACACAGAGGTACACACAGACGTACACACAGATGTACACACAGAGGTACACACAGATGTACACACAGACGTACACACAGAGGTACACACAGATGTACACACAGAGATACACACAGACGTACACACAGAGGTACACACAGAGGTACACAGAGGTACACACAGACGTACACACAGAGGTACACACAGACGTACACACAGAGGTACACACAGATGTACACACAGAGATACACACAGACGTACACACAGATGTACACACAGAGGTACACACAGATGTACACACAGACGTACACACAGAGGTACACACACACAGATGTACACACAGAGATACACACAGACGTACACACAGAGGTACACACAGAGGTACACAGAGGTACACACAGAGGTACACACAGAGGTACACAAAGGTACACAGAGGTACACACAGAGGTACACAGAGGTACACACAGTGGTACACACAGATGTACACACAGGTACACAGAGGTACACACAGAGGTACACAGAGGTACACAGAGGTACACACAGAGGTACACAGAGGTACACAGAGGTACAAAGAGGTAGTGTTTGTCATCACCACAGTGCACATGTGACCAGTGATGATGCCCCAGTGATTAATAATAATAATAATAACTGGGTCCCTCTCTGCTGCTGCAGCACCTTCACTGTGGAGGATGTGTTTGTACATGTTAATGTAACAGTAGTGCAGGTTAGTGCAGGAGGGAAATGAGTGGCAAAACAGCCTGTAATTAAAACGTCACTCACCAGTAGTTGGTCGTGTGACAGTATTAGTGAATATGTTTGTGTGTGTGTGTGTGTGTGTGTGTGTGTGTGTGTTTGTGTATGTGTGTGTTAGACAGATCTCTGTGATAGGTACAGTCGGTCACATTGAATAATTCCAGTAACTGATGTGTTGATTGACATCACAATCACCCTCACCCTAACCCCTTATGAAACCTCAGTCTACACTGGGACCAACACAACCATAGACAGACACACACACACACACACACACACACACACACACAAACACACACACTGCTGTGTGTGTGTTGTTACTGCTGATAACAAGTTATTCTACAGTTAATGAGATACTTTCCCTCTGGGGGAGAAATGCAGGCAGACAACAGCTGTGTGTGTGTGTGTGTGTGTGTGTGTGTGTGTGTGTGTGTGTGTGTGTGTGTGTGTCTGTGTTTGAACCGGTCATCTGATAGAGTGCTCAGGGAGGACAGTAGCCTTGCTGACTGGTTATTGATTAGATGAACAGCCTGGTGGAGCTGGCAATAGAGAGGGGTGGGGGATCCAGAGAAGGGGGGGGGGGGCATGATTGGAATGCAGCAGCTGCAGATCAGCAGCTCTCTGGTTTGTGTGTCTGAGATAAGGTGTTTGTTTTTAGCTGAAGCGTGGATTCCACTGGTATCTAATCTAACACTTGAAAGGTGACAGGTGAATATCAGCTCTTCATACAGGGCGGCCCTCTCCTGGGGGCAGGGGTGGGGCTGTTGTTTGGGTGGGTGGGGTTATCTGAATGCTCCAGCAGCAGTGTGGAAGACAACACTCTGTCACAGTAATGAAGCGAAGTGATTGCAGCAGATTGCATTTCTGTGGTTGGTTTGTTGTTTGGTGATTTCCACCTGTGACTAACAGTTAACTGACACATGACAAAATGCTGACAGGGTTTTATATAAATTTATATGCACGTGTACTGTGACACGCTAGTTTGAGCTTGTTAGAAACTTTCTCTCAGTGTAAACAGCAAACAGCTGGAGAGGGCAGAGAAATGCAGATGTTCCAGTTCTATGTAAATGACTGAGAGAAGAATAAAGACATAAGGAGAAGAAGGGGGTGCTGAAATAACTCGCATTCCTCCATCATACAGACGGGGGGGAGGAGAAACAGAGGGAGGGAGGAGCGGTAGAGTGAGCAGGCAGTAGTACACAGAGGAAGAGAGAGAGAGAAAGTCCCATTCAGGAGGAGTGCAGAGAGAGAGAGGGTGTGTGTGTGTGTATGTGTGTGTGTGTGTGTGTGGGTGTGTATATGTGTATCTGTTTGCTGTTTGTGTGGTCCACTTTGAAAAGGAGGGAATCAGAGAAAGAGAGAGAGAGAGACTGAGGAAACTAGAGAGGTACAAGGTTTTTGAATTGTGTGTTTGTGTGTGTGTGTGTGTGTCTTTGTTCTCTGAGTCATGGGCTCCACAGCCAGCAAAGCCCACATAAAGCCCAGGACGCCCCACCAGCACCACCGCAAGAGGAAACGCAAGGTGTGTGTTCACTGCTGCAGATGTGTGTCTGTCGTCCTCAGTCAGGACTGTGATCAGGTCTCAGGAGGACTCAGGGATGAGCTAGCTGAGTGTATTTTCCACCTTGTTTGACAGTGTTTTAGCTGCTGGTTGTCAGTTCAGACTCTTGCACCTGGTCCTGCCTCATGTGGATAATGGATGTCACAGGCCTGAACTCTCCTCATCTTGTTATGTTTATGAATGCTTCTCCCTCAGCACTCTGATAGTGTCTCATATTCTCTTCACTTTGTTTCACTCTCTCTGCTCACAGACAGACAGACTTTATGACTTTAAGAAGCAAGAGACACTGGTTTCCATTGTAAACTCCGCTGCTCCTGTTGTTGAGCTAAGTGTGTGTGTGTGTGTGTATGTGTATAGTAGAGGGTGAAATGAATGGAGAACATTTAAAAACAGCTGTACCTGGTCCTGCAGGGACGTCATGTCTCAGGTTTTAGGTTCATTCTTATTCGGTTGCTTCTTCTTCAGGACTGGGTGTTTGCAGTCAGACGGTTTGGTTGATTGTCCATAGACAGGATAGGATCAGTTCACCCTGGTCTTAACCCGGCCTCATCTGACCTGTAGAAAACTCCTTTGTTGTTAACTATGAAGTCTGAGACTGCAGTCTCCTGTTAGGACTGAAACCACCACAGCCACTGACAGCTGATGACCACTGTGAGGACGGGGAAGTGAAGATGGCAGCCGTATGACGCCAGTGTCCTGAACAGTGAAGGACAGACTCAGTCTCTGCCTGTACTGAAGGTTGAACTCTTCTCTTCTCTGCAGCGCGAGGAGGCCTTGAAGCAGAAGAAGGAGTTGTCTCTGGAGCTGACGAACCTCCGAGATGAGCTGGGTGAGAGACGCCTCCATACACACACACACACACACACACACACACACACACTCCGATGATACCAACTGCCTGTTCACACCCTGCCCATTCTCTCCCTAACTCTATACCTCCCTCTCTCTCTCTCTCTCTCTCTCTCTCTCTCGTCTATTTGCATACGACACACTTATCAAGGACAGGTCAACTGCCATTCAAAGTGTGGTATTATTTGTATTGTAATACTGGTGCAGCTGCAGAGCAGGAGAAGCTCTGCACAGGCTGTAACCTGTCCAACGTCTGTCGCCTGCACAGCACACCTGTGTTTTTATGAAATGTTCCTGTGGACTAAAGGACTCATAGATTATACATTAACTCAACAAGTCTAATTCTGAGACATGTAGTTGATACGAACAACGTGTGTGTACCAGTCTCCATGTTTCAGTTGACAGTGTCTCTGCCACCTGGTTTGGATCCGAATCAAATCTGGTGCAGACATAGTAAAATAGATGACAGGCTGAAAAAGATTTGATGATAATTGAATCATTTAAGCACCTGTCTACTCGTGTTAGTAATTTCACTGATACTGGTAACTAGTTTAATACGTGACACACACACACACACACACACACTCCACTCCAATACACCATAGTAACACACACAGGCTCACTGGATAGACATACACATTGTGTTCATATGCACTCTGTGTACATAGCAACACGAAGGCATGCCTTTACACAAACACACACACACACACACACACTCAAGCTCACACACACACAAGCTCTGATAAAGGAATAAAGAACCAGCCTGTGTCGAAGCTGCTGCTCTCAGCTGTCGCTGGCGTTGTCTCCATCACCACGGTGACGGACACACAAACCTGCACCACAGAGCTCCATTCAGAGGGAAACAGCACCTGTCCCAGCTACAGCCAGCTGTTACCACATGGTTGCGATCATTACAGTCAATGTGCTCAGGGTGGGTTTGGTCCAGTGTAGCCTCACAGTGCTGGCATCTGTATGTCTCTGTGGATAACTGGCTCTGCTGCTCCTTCTCTCACAAACATCACTGTGTCAACATGTGTGAAAGCAGTGAGAGGCAGAGATTAGGTGATCCAATCTTTACCTGGATCTTTCCCCAAACCTCAGATAGACTAGAAGCACTGAAATCAAAATAGCGCGTAATGATTGGTGGAGAGAGGGGAGCGTGCATGTGCTTGTGAGAGTGTGAATCAGCCATGAGAGGAATGAGTCCTGCTGCATACTTCAGAGCTGACTTACAGATGTCTCGGGGTTGGATCCATGTCGACCACAGGAGTAATTAGACTGGAATGTGGTTTTCAGGGAATGCTGAGGAAGACACACACATGCACACGCACACACACACACACACACACACACACACACACACACACACACACACACACACACACACACACACACACTCACACATAAATCTGTTACTCATTACCTGTTGAGACAGTGAGTGTTCAGACATGACTCTGATGGTTAAAACAGTAAAACAGTGAAAGCCGTAGCTCAGTGATGGAAAACTGATTGCACAGCTGCTCTCCACTCATTTCACATGAGCCCGCAGAGAGATTATAAACAGCTGATCTGTCCTCCACTTTCAGTCTCAACCTACAGAACTCTGACCTAATATTCCCTCTTTTCATCGAAACATGCATCAATGTTTACCTCATTAATTGATGTCATTGAACTTTTCAATGCAGCTGTTTATTGACTGAACTGATCAAATGAAGGTTTACACAGAGCTCTTAGTGAACGGGGATTGTAAACATGTACCCCTCCTGTCTCCTTCAGTCACGTCATCGCAGTGCTGTGAACGTCTGCGGCAGGAGAAGGAGGAGGTGCGTGTCAGCGTGGAGGAGGCTTTGAAGAGGCTGGAGGAGCAGCACAAGGAGGAGCTGGTGCAGCTGGAGGACAGGTGTGTTTTCACCTCTGCTGATGTCATCACAAGCTTGGCACTAGGCCTGGCATAGATGAGATTTAAAAACTATAACCCCCTCAGTGGTACCACACATGTTGCTGATTGGTGTTTTTGTGTTTCTGTGTGCGACAGACTGAGGAGTTTTTACCAAACTGAGTGGGACAAGGTCCATCAGACGTACCAGGAGGAGGCCGACAAGTGCCGCATGTTGATGGAACAGCAGGTCAGAGCATGCACACACACACACACACACACACACACACACATTACGCAACTGCTCATAAAAAAATCTCTGCAGCATGAATATGTTTAGCTTTTACATGGGGACATGTGAGCAGAGATAAGCCGTCACAGATACGTTACACACAGTTTACACTTTGTTTTCTGCTCTGTGAGTCCGCTGTGGCACAGAGGCTAAAGATCAGAGCTGATACTGTGCGCCACTATAGTAACACAAGACATAGTGCTTTTCTCATGTGTCTGTTGAGAACAACAGCAGGAGCTAAAGAAGCAGCAGTAACAGTGGTGGTGGATCAGACCTGTGTCTTTGTGTTACTGGGTTTCGGTAAACTCACACCTGCACACACCGTGTCTGCATCCTTCAGGTGGAGGAGCTGAGGAGCCGACAGGAAGCAGAGAGGAAGAACCAGGAAGTGAATCACATCCAGAAAATGGAGTCTCTCAAACAGCAGTATGAGACGTCCATACAAGGTGTGTGGTGCACAAATACACAACGATCACAGCTCAGTGTTTTAAATCTAGACTTTACCACACTGACTGAAGTGACTGATGGCTCTCATTAAATGAGTTGATGCTGATGTGTGTTTGTGTGTGTGTGTATGTGTGTGTGTGTTTCAGAGCTGAAGAGGATCCAGCAGACAGACCTGCAGAACTTGGAGAAAACACTGACAGAGACTGAAACTTCTCTCTCAGTGAGTCGTTCATCTTCTGTGTTCATGTGTGTTACTATGTTAGTGTGTTAGTGTCTGTGGGTGTGTGTTAATTGGACTTTTCCAGTTTGCTAGAAAAGATTTGTCCTCACTAACCCCATGTTTTTTTTCTGCACTTTGGCTTTAAGGAAAACTTTATCTCAGAGTAATGATAATATATGAGGAAGCTGATAAATCATTGTTATCTCCACAGTGAAGCAGCAATTTGATGAGTTTATCCGCTGCTGTTTTCTGTGTCAGTGTTCACTCATTCATGACCTCTGACCTCTGTGTGTGTGTGTGTGTGTGTGTGTGTGTGTGTGTGTGTGTGTGTGTGTGTGTCTCCCTCTGACCAGGAGAAAATATCTGAGCTGTCAGCAGAGAAGGAGGCTCTGAATGAGAAGCTGCAGGCGGAGGAGGAGAGGAGGAAGTGGATACAGACCGACAAGAATCTGGTAACACAACACAAACACACTGTTAGAGATGTTGTGAACACAGGTGTGAGTGTAATAGATGCAATGTTGTAATCCCTCCCATCAAATTGGATTGTCTCCACTGATTTCTCCAGTTAAACCATCAAACATGCTTCATCTGTTTTTGTAGTCATTATCGTGAGGTGAAGCTCAGTGTTGGTTTCTCTGTTGAACACCAGCTCCCCCTGCTGGAGTGGAGGAGTCACACATTCTCACTTTACTCTGAGCCAACAGCAGTCTGTAGTGTCACTGTCAGACAAAATCTTTGTGTGGTTGTCTGTGCCGCTGCAGTGAGCTTCAGCCGCTCTGACTTTGTGTTTGTCGGTGCGTTTGTGCAGAAGGACTCTCACACAGTGTACCTGGAGCAGGAGCTGGAGAGTCTGAAGGTGGTGCTGGAGATCAAGAACAACCAGCTGCACCAGAAGGAGAAGAAGCTGATGGATATGGACAAACTGGTGAGTGTCAGTGCCTCCATCACATGTTGGACCACGACAGTCCACATGCTGTTTCAGAGGTTTCTCATTCTCTCATAGTCGAGGAAATTATATCACGTTATATCACTCATTTTGTGTTGTTTTATTTTGGAGCAGAAACGGTTTGGATGAGTAGGAGACTGTGTGTGTGACTGTGTGTCACTGTGTGTGTGTCGCAGGTGGAGACTAATGTGAAACTGGAGGAGTGTCTCACGAAGGTCCAGCAGGAGAACGAGGACTACAAGGCCAGAATGGACAAACACGCTGCTCTCTCCAAGTATGTACTGCCGCTGATACACACACACACTGTGAGCGTGGGAGGGAGGTGAGGCGTTGGTGTTGCCATCTGTTCCAGTGAATCTGTCTCAGCTTCATATCTCCATCAGACCACTGACACCTTTAAATCAAAGTATAAAACATGATATTTCCTGCTGTTCAGTGTATCACTGAATGTGGGCATGTAGATTTGTTCAGGCACATCTTGGCATCTTACATGTGCCTACTGATTTTCGTACATGTAGGTTAAACCAAGGCTATAAGAACGGCCTCGCTGAAATTTTCTAGGTGGTGCTGTTGAGCCATTTTGCCACACTTATGTGCAAGACCCATATCACATGTACATTTTCACCAGTCCTGACGCATGTGCACAGTTTAATGAGTTTTTGAACATGGCCACGCCCTCAGAAAGGCAATTTACTTTTATCAAGGAAAATAATCATTAAAGCTGCAAGCAGCATTGATCGGACCCTCACACTCCTGTGCACGGCGGGGGGGACAGCTCTCTGTCTCCTCCCTTTATACCTCTGTCTCCCCCAGTTACAGCTCTCTGTCTCCCCCTGCAGACAGCTCTCTGTCTCCCCCTGCAGACAGCTCTCTGTCTCCCCCAGTTACAGCTCTCTGTCTCCCCCTGCAGACAGCTCTCTGTCTCCCCCAGTTACAGCTCTCTGTCTCCCCCCTTTATAGCTCTGTGTCTCCCTAGTTACAGCTCTCTGTCTCCCCCCTTTATAGCTCTCTGTCTCCCCAGTTACAGCTCTCTGTCTCCCCCTGCAGGCAGCTGTCCAACGAACAGGCCATACTCCAACAGACGCTGCAGAAAGAGTCCAAGGTCAACAAGCGTTTGTCCATGGAGAACGAGGAGCTGCTGTGGAAGCTGCACAATGGTGACCTGCTGGCGAGTCCCCGCCGCCTCTCACCCACCTCACCTTTCAACTCACCAAGGAACTCTGCCTCCTTCCCTACAACTGCCCCCTTATCACCCAGATAACCCCACAGGAAACACTATCCTGTCCTCTGACCTCCTCATCACCTTTCGAAGCCTTGGATGGATGAAGATCCACATACAGAGACAGACTTCAGACTTCAGTGTTGTTGGATATGAATCACGTAACAATCTTGTACATTTTGAATGAATTGCATTAAAAGACACTTATTTTGAAAGTGGCAGACATTGCAGTGGCACTGATGCACTTCAGTCTGAGCGTGGGACTGGCCTTGTTCTATCAGTCTCTACCAAACGCCTGCTTCACCAACAAACCCTGTTGTTCTGAAGAAAAGGGAACAGGCACCTCAGGGTCTGTACATAGAGCCTCGCTCTCATTGTGACTGTCCGGACTTTTGTTTTTTATTGTACAGTTTCAGATCATCCTGTTCTTTAGTCCCTCTCTCTGAAGAGGTGGCTGGGAACCTGGCTCCCAGTTGTTTGGGTTTGCCGAAGTTAAGATCGTCATCTTAACATCTGCAAACCCAAACAACTGGGTTCTCCTTGGTTTAAAGAGGATGTTTGTTCCAAAGAGCGAAGCTCAATCACTGATTACTGATCTGCTGTGGAGGAAGAAGATGAACGTTGTGTCCCTCTGTGTTCACCTGAGGAGCTGACCAGGGGTCAGTGGACACCTGCTCCTCCATGTGACCTCTACCTGAATCTACTCTGTGAATGTAATCACCTTCAGTTCAGACACAGTCTCACAGCCAGATATGCAGTTGACTTAAGAAGGAAGGTGTTGGCCAGGACCGTTTTCACCCTCCTCCCCATTTAATTTTTCCCTAGCAGAGGGATACCCCTCCACCCATCCCACCCCCACCCACCCCAAACCACCTTGTGCCCTAACAGAAACGAGTCAGAGCTGATGGTGACTGATGAGTTCATACCTGTCTGACAGACACTGGTCCTGTTTCACACTTTGTCCTGAAGAACCTCAGATTTACCCAGAATGCCTCAGTGTACCATGTTCTGTTTTCTTTTGGACAGAATAAATATGACACATGAATAAAGCAGCCATCTTTTATTTCACATATTAAAATGAATGCGAAGAAACGCCTGAGTGAGTCACACTGACTTCATCACTTTGTTCTTCAATGGATGTGAACGAAGTCAAACAGGTAAGAAAGTGATGACACGTGTTTCTTTCAGCCAATCGGCTGAGGACGATCGGCACTGCCTGGCGCCCCCACTGATGGGGGGATGACCGACGGTGAATGCTCCAGGTCAGCGGCTCGTACCATCATCACCACGGATTTGATGGAGTACCACCAACCGTGCCACGTATACCACACCACTCCGTCATTGGTCATGGCTTCGTACGGCCCTTTGTAGTAATGACCGTTCAGATTCCCCGAGTCACACCTGTGAGGAGGAAGTAAAGAGAACAGGTGAAACACCTTGTTTTTCTCCGTCCGTTCAAAGTAACTGAGCAAAGCTGGACTCTGTCCGTTACCTGCTGAACCACCAGCCAGACTTGCTGAGTCTGACACACTGGCTGTCAGCCTCATTGTTCGGCTGATCAAAGGTGCTGAACTTGACCCCGCTTGACCCCAAACCTGGATTGGCCCATTTTTTCCCACCAGGGGAGAGAGTGTGAGCATCAGCCAGAGCGTCCCCTGCGTTCCCAGTGAACTCTTCCAAATGTAACTGGTACTGGTCCTGTAGCGGAGAAAAACAATTAGTGTTTCATCATTACTGCATCACTGACCCCCACACCCACCCCACCACATCTGACTGATGGAGGGAAGACAGGGACTGATGGAGAAAAGAGAGAGTGACTGATTGAAAGAAGAGAGAAGGACTGATGGAGAGGAGCAGTGAGGAGTAGAGGAGGACAAGAAGAGAAGGACACAGAGTGGAAACATCTGGCAGACCTGTAGTCAGACATCCTTGCAGCTGTTTCCATAGTAACAGTCATGAAATACAAACAACACACATAGTCTAAATAAGGCCACTAGAGTTATGGGAAAGGAGGAGAGGGACAGTCACAACTTTTTTTTTTGTCACTCAACTAAATAAAGCTCAAACTGATGAACTAAAAAGAAGCAGAGATCACTTGATGAATTTTATTGAAGGAATCAGCTTGATTTTGCTCTGACTCTGGAAACAGACCAGGAGTCTCAGTGACATGTCAACATGTGTCTGTTTTACCTTCTCATCGTCCACCTTGAAGTTCTTGTACTCTGCGTAGCGCTGATTCCCCTCAAAATCCTCCATGTTAATCCGCAAATCGTAGTTTCCTAGAAGACAAAGGCCCTGTTCAGACCTTGTGTTAACATGTGTCTTCAGTGATCTGATCACAGGTGGTCAGCCTGTCTCCACGTGTGACTCCAGTGACCACTTGTGATCTCACTTCCAGCTTTATATGTAAATACATAAGTCATGAGTCATTGTTTTTGGCCAAACAGACAGACAGGTATGTTGTCAATGTGCTTGTGTGTGTGTGTGTGTGTGTGTGTGTGTGTGTGTGTGTGTGTGTGTGTGTGTGTGAGAGAGAGCGAGAGCAAGCGGGCCATGGAGGGGTTGAGTGAATTAATGCGCTGTGCACAGCTCTTACAGTGAAATCAGGTTTTATCCAGTTGAAATAGTAAAATGTTTTGGTTCCATGGTGAAACTGTGTTGGGACTAATCAGACAGACACACACATACACACATATACAGGTATACACACCCTGGGAGGTGAGGTAATGTAGAGGATCGTTGCCCAGCCAGAATTCTCCGTCAGGGGAGTGCAGGTCTCCAAATCCATGCTTGTACTCTACCCATGCTCTGTACAGACACACACACACACACACACACACACACCCACACACACACACACACACACACACACCCACACACACACACACACACACACACACACACTGATTTCATATGTGTTTGTAAAATCAGATGGTTTATGTGTGTAAAGCTGACACACACACACAGTCACACACAGACACAGACAGACAGACAGACACACACACACACACATACACATACACGCACACACACTCACACACACACACACCTGTCAAAGCTCTCCTTGCCGTCTCTCCTCCTCTGGAAGACGGTCCATCCTCCTCCATTGTTCATGTCACAGTAAACAGTCAGTGCAGTGGGAGAACCGTCTGGCCGAATCACATAGAGCCCACTAGCCACGTTACCATCTGCAAACACCTGGGAACAGTCTACACACACACACACACACACACACACACACACACACACACACACACACACACACACATAGGTGAAATATTCAGACAGTTGTTGATGATGTGATACGATGCAGGTGTTGACTTATTTACCAATGCTAACTGCTAATCGGCCGCTTGATAAAAGCCTGTCTGTGTAGATGTGCTCCATCTTTATTTTTCCATCCAGTTAGTGTGAAACACATGAAGAGCTCCACACCAAACCTTACACAGTTGTTTTAGCTGGTGAAAGGTTTATACACAGCATCGTGATTCAGGCCTCCAGATGAACGTCTGTCATCCTTCAGGATAATATCTGTGCCTTCAGCTGATAAACACAGTGTTCACCAGCTGCTCTCTGGCCAGGTCTGACTGCTGCTCAGCAGGTTTATCAGAGCTTTGTGTTAAAAGACCTCCTGCAGTCAAAACAAGGTTCATATGAGCACAGCTGGAAGAACAACACAATGAGCCAAAACAGGCTGAAAGGCTCTGCAGAGCTGTGATAATCCTCTGAGGCTCATTATGTCACAAATGATCCTTTAATCCAATGTTAATAAAAGAAAATATTAATGAGCTTTAACACTGAGGACAGATGGTGAAGTGGGTGGTACAGAGCAGCAGCTGACAGCCAACAGCTCGACTGACACCCTGTAAACACACAGACACACACTCACAAACATCTGTGTGTCTCATAGACATCTAGCCCCACCTCTGTGCAGGTTCTCGGGTCCCAGGTGTGAGTTGGGTATGTGCTCCAGCTGCTGGGCCTGGCTGTTGTGGAGCTCCTGGATGTAGCGCTGCTGGTCGCTGATCACGTTCATCAGGTCCTGGACCTCTGCTTCCAGACGGACCACCCTCACCTCACATGGCACGGGGACCTGGACGGAGACAGACCAGATGAGTAAATCCAGGTTACTGTGGACGCAGCCTGTCAGGACCAGTAAACAGCTTACAGCTTAGTTAAAGATGCACAACATTTTACAACTGGACTTTACAGCCTGCAGCCCTGGTGCAAAGAAGAAACATAATGTGACTTTGCTTTGTTGTAAAACTTAATGAACTTTATGCAACAGTTAACCCTCTGAAATTCTCCTTCAGATGAGCAGGAACATGAAGTGTGTCATAACAATTGAAGAATTTCTTTTCTAAGAGAAAAGAATATATAACAAAAATACAAAGAAATCTACAAACCTGGTAGTTTTAGGTTTAACCAAAACCAAAAGATATGATGGTAAAGGTTTTCTCCCACTGTCTCAGAGGCATGTTTTAATATTGAATTTGAACCAAACCAAACCATCAGGACAGGATCAAAACAAGCAGAATAAGTATCTAGAGCAGACAGAGGAGACAAACAACCATCACAGGCCGAGTCTCACAAACAAACACACATGCAACAGTCCTCACCGACATAAAGATAAAATAACAGCAGAACTACTTTTTAGCAAACAAGTCCCTGACCTGTTCACAGAGAGGTCTGTGTAGTGTAACATTTCTGTTTTGTAAATTAAATAATCCAAAATGTGTTAATAAATCACAGAATGTATGGTGATGTGCTGAGAGTTAGGAGTTTCTTACAGCAACACATGCAGCCAGGTGAAGAAGGAAGACCACAGATGTCCTCAGCTCATCCATAACAAATGATCCCATCAGTCAGTGTATCAAACTGCTCTGTCTGAGCTGTGTCACTGAGCTTGTCTCTTATGTCCCATGTCTCATCACTGCACTCTCTCACCATGACTCTTTATGCAGATTATTAGACTGTAAACCAGCCTCCATCTAGTGGTTGGAGTGAACAGTCCTTGTCTCCAGTTTGTACCTAACTCCTCCGTCTGAACCTTCCTACGACACACTAACAAAAGTCACTTCACTTATTTCAGACGTTCTGTCTGTAATCCTCACCAACAACTCTATTAACACCTGGATAAACATCTGTTTGTAGAGCATGAAGTTGTCTTTTTTGGCTGCAGTATGGAGGACTAAAGATTGATTAATCTATAAAACAATGTATACATAAATAAATAATAGACATAATCAAATCCTTAAATACATACCTGAGTAGTTTAATGCATAATTAAATGAATAACTAAATAAATGTTGGTCAAACAATAAATGTCTACAACAACATGCCTATAAATACACTGCTTTATTTCTGTCTGTATGCGAGTAGGTGACTGAATCAGTCCTGCCTCACAGTGAGATCAGTAACATCACTGACAAACAGACAGAAATACAGAAATTAATAATGTAAAAATACAGAAATTAATAAATGTCTAATAAATAAATGAATGTCTTTAAGTTATCTATTTTACTAATAGGCAGCATCTATTCATTTAATTTGTCATTTCCTGTATTTATGTTAGTGTTTAATGGTTGTTTTATTTATCAATTAAAATATTTATGAACTGACTATTAATTCAGTTCAGAACTTATTTCAGCATTATATTTGTATTTATTGAAACATTGAATGATAGTGTGTCATGTGTGTGAAGCATAGATGGCGTGAAGTCACATAGCACCCTATAAAGCAAAACAGAGGGAGAGCGAAAGTGACGTCTGCTACTTAAACCATGATATAAAACAAAGCACTGTGATACACGAGTTAACTGGTTTAATGTTAGAGGATCACACACCATACATGACCATGTACTCACACTGGCAAACTGTACAAAAATGCGACTCCGGTGGGACTCGAACCCACAACCTTTGAATCACTCCTCAGGAGTCAGACTAGAAGTCCAATGCGCTATCCATTGCGCCACGGAGCCACCTGTTGAACAGCCGTGGGTAACAGACCAAGAGCTTAGGTTCTGTGAGATTGTTTGACGTGATGGGGAAGCTTGTGTCGTTTCGTTCATGTCACAGTTATGTACAGACAAATCTGTGAACGACTATTGAAGCAATAACAACCACGTAACTGACTAAGGAGCCACATCCTTCTGCAGTCTCTTTCTGTTCGGGACTGGTCACGTTGTTTGTCTTGGATGCTTTCTGTTGTACTGAAAGGTTTAGGGTAATGCTAACATCGCTGCGGTCTGTATTGCAGAAGGCGCTCTCCTCCTGGGTGGACTACTCTCTTCCACTTGTTCTTGTTTACCCTTACGTAGGATATCGGCCTTATAGACGGTGTCGAGTTGCTGTTAGTTTTACATTTCTGTATCTAGAAGCTGCCGTGAGTGTATTATAAGACCGGGAGCTACAGATCCTCAGTCGCCATCTTATTTGCCCAGCAGTCTTAAAGCAGTTCACAAAAACCCGATAATACTTCCGGTTTGGTTGTGCGAGCCTTCAAAATAAAAGCCGAGCGTGAGCGCAGTAACTGTCGCGCTTATACTGCCAGAATAACAGACAGTTCCTTCAATTGACTAAAAGGACTCAAGGACTACAGGACTCAAGTGAATGTACTTAGTTACTGTCCACCCCAGCTCTTTTATGGTTATCTCTATTGTGATGGAAATCTAAAAATGAAAAGTTGACAAAATGATCGAGTTGTCTTTGTATATTAATAAGAGCTTTGCAAAAGATCAGTATACAGTCACAATAGAGTGCAATTGCAGACTGATAACGAACAAAGAGTGTATATGAACCTTACAGAGAAAAGAAATAAGGAGGCAGGGTCAGGATTTGTGTGTGTGAACAATTCTGGGTGCCATCCTAACTGCCAAGAAGAAGCAGCTGCATGTTCTGGGACTAACTACTCCCTAGTTGGTACCGGACAGTACCTAGATAAGGAGCATACATGTGAGAATAGATTCACATCCAGGGTTATACAATGCCAGGTCATACAAAGTTCAAACCAGGTTATACAAAGAGCCAAATGTGATTTTTCTATTACACTATCTAAGGGAAAGCAATTTATTTGATGTCCTCCTTCTGACAGCTCTTGTTTTTTTTTACATATGGACACCAACGCTATAGTTTTCATTTCCAGGTGGCGATATTCACCTTTTAGAAGCTAGAGAATGTGCTTGGTGAAGCCCACGAGGCTGCAGCACATCTAGCCTCTAGGGGCCCTCCCCTCAGGGCTGCCCATGATGTGGAGACGCTCCTGGTAGAGTGACACTTGACTCCAGATGACATATGGCGATTATTCACCTTATATACATGAAAAATCACATCTACAACCCAATGGGACAGGCGCTGCTTGGAAAGAGCACGACCTCGTCTGGGGTTTAACATTTAATGGCTAAATTTGACTATTTGACTACAAACGTAGCTGTCACAGAACCCAGGTATTTTCATTAAGTACATCACTGTCCCAGATATTTGATTTGAAAAAGATAAAATTAACCAAAAGGATTTGTTTTTAAAGATTTAATTTAAACGATAATGAATGCCATTGAACATTTAGCACACTGTATACTGAACACACAATGACGAGCCCAAGGTCTGCAACAGGCCCCCCATTTGACTTGCTAACTTCCTTAAAGCCAGCTGATGAGGTTGACCATAGAGAGCTTTCATTGTGTCAGTATAAGGGGTTGGTGAATTCAGGTAGGCATCACCTAGACTGCAGTCATTTGATACTCCGCCAATGAAGTCACCTGATTTGATAGTCAAAATAAATGTCAGGCGCAGTCAGCCAAAATTAAACTCGAACGCACCTTTGTCACATTCAGCCATTCAGTAACCACAGAACCCTCAGTCCAGAGAAAAGCAAATTTTCCAGTCTGGAAAATATGGAAGAAAGTCAGCAGACCAGGTAACTAGTTTCAATTCTCCATTTACATTCGATATGAGAGACACGTCCTCGTTCAGAGGAAGTAAAGACAGGCGATGAGACGGACACGAACAACTCCTCTGTATCGCATGCTGCTGGATTTCTCCAGCGTTTGATAAGTTGCCTCATTAATTTTCCGTTCAGTGATTCAATAATTCATATTTAAAACACCAGACTGAGTGAATCTGCTCCATCTCATCCTGTCACCATGTCTGCTAAATTTAATCGTTAATTCATGAAAACACGTGTACCTGGTTCTACATAAAGCTCGCTTGTTGAATGACAGGTGTGGGTTGTTTTTGTGTTGTTTTGCAGAGACAGCGCTACTGCTCTGTCTCTGCTTACCTTTGCCACGCCCGGCCCCCCGAGCGCTCTGGGAGGCGTGTGTGGAGAGTTGAGAAAGGCAAGCAGAGACAGAGCAGTAGCGCTGTCCTCAGTGCTGAATCTTCTTAAAAGACATTTAACGTGATGAGTTGCAACAGTGAATGAGACAGTCAGGGGTCGACAGTAGCGAAATACATTTACTTGAGTACTGTACTTATATATAGTATATTTTCCAGTATCTGTTCTATACTGGAGTATTTTTTTTTTTTTTTAGAAACTTCTGACTTTTACTCCACTAAAAAGACCAATATTGTACTTTTGACTCCACTACATTTCTATGAAGTACTCTTGCTTTGAAGCAGAGCTTTTAGTCAGTGAATTTATTTTACAACATGTCATAGGCCAACTTAGTCGTTTAAATTTATTAAGACTTAAATTTCCTCACAATTGAGGGCGAGGCCACCAAGGCAGTTCTGGGGCTGGTGCGGAACAGGTGCCAAAATTGGAACCAGNAAAACACGTGTACCTGGTTCTACATAAAGCTCGCTTGTTGAATGACAGGTGTGGGTTGTTTTTGTGTTGTTTTGCAGAGACAGCGCTACTGCTCTGTCTCTGCTTACCTTTGCCACGCCCGGCCCCCCGAGCGCTCTGGGAGGCTTGATACACGACACTACACTTTTTGATTGGGTAGTTTAGGACTGTCTCCCGCCCACAAATGATCCAGAATGACTTTCGCAACTCTGCAAAGACTCGCTCAGGACCAGGATGATGCAGATCACTAAAATACTTCTGAATCAGCAGGAGGGCAAACTTTACCAAACTGAGACAATTTAAGCCATAAACTAAGTGAATGTAGTTGTTGTGAGTGGAAGACAGGCTGGTGGACTTCAGTCAGGATGACACACTGTGGGCACACAGATCACAGAATCAATCACTTATCAGGTGAATGACTTATCAAATGAAAATTCACTAAAGAAAAGTATTGCAAATATATAGATTAAAAAACAATTACATTCAAGAACAAAGCCTGACAAGTGACCAATAACTGCCAATCAAAATCACAAAATCAAAATGTCTTGATGTATGAAAACAAAGACTCACCTTTGTGTCGTTAATTCAGCTTTCAAACTGACACAACTACATCCTTACGGCGTTTGCATCATCCTAGCAATCATCCTCGTTCCCGTGACACAGCTAGAAAGAAAATTTTTACAAAGATTAAAAGTCCATGGCTTAAGAATATACAATACAAAGATTAATAACTGACTGTGTTTAGAGCCGGAGGTGTTCTGTCAACAGTTTTACAGGAGTCTCTTTCACTACTGTGGTCTATGGGAAAAACGCTTTTTGGGCCGATTTTTTTGCTGCAATACCACGAGTGGCCACTGGGAAAATTGGCTGCAAGGCCCTATCCTACTCTTATCATACATCCATGAGGCACACTAATTCAACGTCGCTAGCGTCTTTACACTACTGCTACGGGGGGCATACGTAACTTTCTGCAGCTAAATAACATGCCCCCTAAATGATACACAGACAGGAGGTCAGAGCTTTTTAGACATGGACGACTGATTTTTCTTTTAGATCACAAAACTTTACATCCTCTATCTTTCTGTGTGTTTCTCTCTATGGGTGTAACCAGAGCAAGAGAAGACTACCTGCAATGTGAGGACTACTTTATGGCTGTTGCCGGTCTGTCAGCCCAAAGAAGCAAAGACCCAAGCACACAGGTGTGTGTGTGTGTGTGTGTGTGTGTGTTTGCGTGTTTGCATGGTCATTAGGGCTGTAACAGATACTTCACAGTGATGTAAAGTATGTAATTGATTTTGAAAAAAAAAAAAATGTTTGTTAAAAAAGTAAAAAAAGTATAGACAGTATAAAATGTGTTTTCCTCAGAAGTATCTTAGGTTCTCCGAGACACTTAACCTATTTAGGTTCTCTAAGAAGTTTGTGTTTTCATGTCAGAAGTTTTCCCAGACCTCATTCTTGTAAAGGAAACCATATACACTGAACAAATATAAACACAACACTTTAGTTGTTGCTCCCATTTTCACTAGTTGAAATAAAAGATCTAAGACATTTTCTAAGCACATTAAAAGGCTTATTTCTCTCAGATGTTGTTCACATACGTGTTTAAATCCGCATTAGTGAGAACTTTTCCTTTGCCAGGATAATCCCTCCACCGACAGGTGTGTCATATCAAGATGCTGAGTACACAGCATTATTATTGCATAATATAATATTATCTTGGGCTACAGATGTGTGTTTTTATCTGGTGTTACCACCATCCGCCTCATACAGTTGATCAGGTTGTTGATTGTGGCCTGTGGATTGCTGGTCCACATAAGCTTCCAGCCAGAGATGGTTTCTGATGATTGGTGCATGGCTGGTGTATGGCTGCTCTCAGACGATCTTACAGGTGACAGGTGAGGTCTTGATATGACACACCTGTCAGGGGGAAGGATGATCTTGGCAAAGGAGAAGTGGTCACTTATGTGGATTTATTATGTGGAGTATTACGGCCACATTGAGGGAAAAAAAGAAACTTTCCTCATTTTAAAGCTTCTGATATTTCCTCTAAAACAACACAGAGCCTAAAATGACAACTTTACTCTCATAATATTATCACTTTATTCTTGTTAAATTATCACTTTATTCTTGTAATATTATGATTTTATCATATATGACTTATTCTAAATATCTCAACATTTTTTTCCCTCAATATGCTCCTAATACTCTGTCATAGATTTAAACAGATGTGAACATTTAAGAAACTAAGCTCCCTGTGTGTGTATAGAAAAAAATCGAAGATCTTTTATTTCAATTCATGAAAAATTAGCGTAAAAACCAAAAGCCATTTTTTTTTAAAACAGTCATTGCAAGTAAACAAAATAAGAAGATGCTGTTAGAGCAACCTTAGAAACAAGCACAGACCAGCAGTTTGAATATGTAACATACGGGCCACGTATAGAAGACCACACAGCAAGCAGAATGCCCACACCCTTACTGTGTGAGATACTACTGAAGGTAGTGGCCTGTTCAATCTGTGTCCCTCTCTGCAGGTCGGGGCGTGCATCGTGAACCAGGAGAATAAGATAGTTGGCATTGGTTACAATGGTATGCCCAATGGATGTGATGGCAAGCTGCCATGGGCACGTGTTGCTGATGACCGACTTGAAACTAAATACCCATATGGTGAGAATGCATCTGCACACGCACTCTTTTCATTTTGGACAGTAATCATTCTGGTTTTATCTTTTGAAGAAAAAGTGAATACACAACAAAATAACAAAGTGCTCTTAGTTTCCTCTACCACGCCACAGAAGTCCGTAGTAATCATGTGACATTGTGTGGGAGGTTTTCTGGACTTTAAGGGCATTTGTGTGTGGAGCAAAGACTAATTCATTAGTGGTCCATACTATGCTGCTGAGTTCTCTTCATGTCTCGACGTTGGCCTGTAGAGGGTGGTACAGGATAAATAATGAGGAAATCTTAACCTCTTTCTCCATTGATCAGATACTTTCATATTGTACTTTGTATTTCTCACAATTTCTCCTTTTTCTTTCTTTCCTTATCTCTTAGTGCTTCATTAAGGGTGTGACAGAGGGTAAATAAGTCATCTACAGCTTTCTCCACTCACAAACAGCTCTATGTCTCCATTTCTCTCTGTCTCCTTGTTTTACTTTTTTACCGTCAACAAATGGACTGAAAATTCCAGAGAAAATCAGTCTATTCACACAATATTTCTGCATAATAACTAACACTTAAACAAGACAAACATTAAAGGCCATAACAGCGACCCCTTGATGCTGCAGGTTTTTACACCCCCCCCTTTATCAACGTGAACTAAACAAGCAATTTACTGATGATTTTCTTCTTCTTTTTCTGTTAAAATGTAACGATTCCTGAGTGTGGTGTCAGAACTGGAGATGAAACGGTACAAAAATGTAATATCACTATTATAGTGACCGATATTATCATGGTACTGTTAAAATGTGCTGAAAATGTTAAAATCATCATTTCACCAAGTGAATGTTTGCATTTTAACATTGAAATAATAACATGTCAGGGTTCCACGGTCATGAAATTCCTGGAAAAGTTATGGAATTAGAAAAAGAGTTTTCCAGGCCTGGAAATGGTTTGGAATTAAGTAAATGTTTTGGAAAAGTTTTGAATACACACTGTTTTCGCCTATTGTTTAAAATATGTTAATCAGTCCCTCCAGAAAGTCACAATGTTGCGATGGCAATTATTAACACAAAAATCATCATGCAAATTGAACCAATCATGCCAGTCCCTCTGCAAAACCTTGATGTACGTCACCAAACTCCTTCCTTGTTTCTGGTTTTGAAGCATGTGAAGCTGCAGACATGTGACATGAAGGTCTCACATTTACCAAACATTACTGTTAAAGACTGTAAAGCTGATGTTTTGCCCCGAAAGTGGGTTAAATTGTGCAACATCGTGGTGGAACCACAGGTGTAGAGCTGCTGAAGCCACCAGAACGACAATTTCCAAACATCTATCACACATCAAGCAACACCCAAGAAAACATTCCACCTTAAAAGATGCTAGTTGAGGGGCGAAATAATATCTTACACAGCAGCACGCAACAAAGCCAGAAAATTAGAGCAGGAACAACTCATAGATTCAATGCTTGACTTAGATCGTAGACACTCCACATCACCCTCCCCTGAACTATATAAAGAAAGACTGGCCTTACAAATGCAATATAACCTAATATCAACACAGGAAACGGAACGACATCTGCTCAGGTCTCGAGGTTTTATATACGAGCATGGTGAAAAGGCAGGCCGTCTTTTGGCCCACCAGCTTAAATGTAGATTGGCGGCCCGGCTCATACCACAGATTCAGAAGTCTCCAAAGTGGCAAGGCTCCCGGACCAGACAGCTACCCAGTCGAATTTTACAAAAGATTTTCATCCAAATTAGCCCCTCTGTTACTTGAAATGTTTAATCATTCACTGGATCAGGGAGCCTTGCCACAGACCCTCACAGAAGCTAATATTACACTTCTGTTAAAACCTGGGAAGAATGCAGTTGATTGTGGCTCTTATAGGCCCATATCACTTCTAAATGGCGATGTTAAGATACTAGCCAAGCTTCTTGCTATTAGGTTGGATAATGTTATGATGGACATAATTTCGCCAGATCAGACAGGCTTTATCAGGGGTCGCCACTCCTTTTCTAATATACGAAGGCTCCTCAGTGTCGTTCACTCTCCCGCATCCTTGGAGATTCCCGAGGTGGTGGTCTCCCTGGATGCGGAAAAAGCGTTTGATCGGGTCGAGTGGCCCTATTTATTTGCGGTACTGGGAAAATTTGGATTTGGGCCCAAACTTATAGCTTGGATACGGCTGTTGTATGCATCACCTAAAGCAAGTGTAATCACTAATAAATTGCGTTCTAAGTCCTTCTCACTGTCCAGGGGTACCCGGCAGGGCTGTCCTCTTAGTCCACTTCTCTTCGCTTTAGCTATCGAGCCTCTCTCCACTATGCTGAACACCCCACAACGCTTTAAGGGAATCTACAGAAAACAGTTAGAACAGAGAGTATCCTTATATGCAGATGACTTATGCTTTACATCTCAGACCCAGTGTCATCTGCCCCTGACATTGTGAACATGTTACTCATTTTTGGCAGGTTTTCAGGATATAATTTGAACTTTTTAAAGAGTGAGTGTTTTCCAATCAATAACTTAGCCCTCCAAATTGCAGAAACAGAGTTGCCCTTCCCTCTCTCTAGAATATTTGGAATTCAATGTTACCCGTTTCGTTCTCTGTTTGTATACAAAAATTTTACTCCCCTGATTAATAATCTGACTGAATCTGAAAAAATGTGACCTTCAGAAGTGGAGTGTTCTAAACCTAACCCTAGCAGGAAAAATAGCATGTATTAAAATGAACATATTGCCAAGGCTTTTATACCTCTTTCAGAGTATTCCAGTCTTCCTTCCAAAGTCATTTTTCAGACTGGTTGATAAACTGTTGTCTTCATTTTTATGGGGTAACAAGCATCCCAGGATTCGTAAGGAATTCCTTCAAAGACATAAGTCAGAGGGGGGTGTGGCTCTGCCCAATCTGATGTATTATTATTGGGCAGCAAACCTACAAAAAATAGTTTATTGGATTCACAGACCAGATGCTGATTGGTGCCAAACAGAAATTAATGCCTGTATATCATCATCACTCCCTGCATTAGTTACGTCAAAGCTCCCCCTCTCTCCCAAACAATACTCCTCATGTCCGATTGTAATCTCCACCTTAAAAATTTGGGCACAATTCCGACAAAACTTCAATCTGACAGACTTCTCTCTTTATAGTCCCATCTGCAATAATCATGTCTTTACCCCAGCCAAATTAGATCATGTCTTTGTCCAGTGGCAGAGGGCAGGCCTAAGTAAATTCAGTGATCTCTATATAGATGGTACTTTTGCCACATTTGATGCTCTCTCCACCAAGTTTAATTTACAGCGCTCTAGTCTTTTCCGCTATCTCCAAATTCGCCGGTTTGTTCGTACCATCAGCCCATGTTTTCCTAATTTACCTCCAAAAAAAGGAATAGATATCATTCTGCAAATTCCCATGCGCCGCAGAGGTCTCATCTCACAAATATATAATAGTATCAAATCATTCAATAAAGTGATGATAGATAGGATCAGAGCAGACTGGGTAGAAGAACTGGGAATAAATATCTCTGATGCAACCTGGGATGATGCTTTATATACAGTAAATGGGTCAACCTCATGTGCTCGCCTTGGCTTGATTCAATTCAAGGTGCTCCATCGAATCCATTATAGCAAAGCCAGACTCTCTAGGATCTATTCTAATGTCAGCGAAACATGTGAACGTTGTCATGTAGCTAAAGCTGATTTGGCCCATGTGTTCTGGTCCTGTAATAAACTGTATAATTTCTGGACCACGAAATTTCAAACTTTATCTGAAGCTTTTGGCAGAGATATCCAACCTAGTGCTGAAATGGCTATATTTGGAGTCCCAGGGGAGGGTTCATCTATGACAAATAAAATTAAAAACGTGCTTGCTTTTTCAACTCTCCTGGCTCGGAGGAGAATCCTGTTGGAGTTGAAATCAGCACATCCACCCAAATCCTCCTCCTGGATGAAAGACCTGATTTTATTCCTAAAGTGCTGATTACACACATCAAAAGCTCTTAACAGGTTTTTGGGGTGTACTACTACATATGTGAAAAGTTGTATAAAGTCTTTTGTGACTCCAGAGGGAGAAGTCTAATGATTGTCTCATGTGACATCACTTGAGGTCATGTCAGTTGGAGCAGTTTAGCTCACCAGACCTCTAACTCGCTCTTCATTCCTCTTAGAGGCTACATTAGCTGCTACTAGCATAGCACACTGAATCGCAAAAGTTTAATGAAAAGCAAATAAGAAAACTTTTAGCCGGTAATGTAGGCAGTAGGCTTTGACAAGGAAAGAGAATGGATCTGGATTTTGATGTAAAAGAACAGACATATTTATGTTAGATCCAGATGATAAACTCTGTGAAATTGTTTGGAATTGGCAGAAGTGCCATTCTAGTTGAACTTAAAACAAAAAAACATGCAGTGTCTTGTATTGACTGGGGAACATTTCAATGCTCTGTCTCACAGTGTGCCATGCAGAGCTGAATGCCATTATGAACAAGAACAGTGCTGATGTGAAAGGCTGCACCATGTATGTGGCTTTGTTCCCCTGCAACGAGTGCGCCAAGCTCATCATCCAGGCAGGTGGGTGTTGAACACACACACACACACACACACACACACACACACACACACACACACACACACACACACACACACACACACACACACACACTCATGATGAAGCCTTAAAACATAATGTAAATATTAATTAATATAATAATTTATAGAAGTGAGTGCATGTCACTTATAAATTTATATATAAATGTAATAAAAACACACACACACACTAAATATTGGTAAACCAATACTGATTTTTGAAGGTTGACAAAGATGTTTTATATGAATATAAACTGTATTAAATTTTAACTGCTTAATGAAAATATTTTTTGCACTGCACTGGCACTCTGACTGCTGTTATTCAGTACCAGCCTCCACGTACACAAGATGGCAGATGCTGGCGCATTTTGGCTGCCGCACCGTCCCTGATCCTAATTTCTGCCTTTGACGCTCTAACCTGGCCGGTAAAGTTGCTGTGAGTCTGTGGCTACATGCTATCTACCTGCCGTCTTTATATACTTCCCGTCCCCAAACTCTATCCCATCTCTCTGGTCCACCCCATCTTCCTCATTATGTCATCACATCAAACCACACGTGAATCTGTCCAATCTCTGTCCCCTCCCTCGGTCTTCACAATTTAACACAAAGCAATGTCACCTGAAACTGACTTTGCTTAACGATCGCTCACTCAACAATAAAAGCCTCATCGTGAATGAATTTATAACAGACAGTAACCTGGATGTCCTCTGCTTCAGTGAAACCTGGCACAAACCACTGGTCTGCTCCACTGGTCTTACACAACATACATCAACTCTCCAGCCTCAACCTCAACATCTTTGACCACCTGGCAATCACTATGGACATTGACATTCCTATCTCCATCCCAAAAGATAAATGCAAGATCTCCTTCAGAAATCTCAAATCTATCTCCCCCTCAGCTCTTTCTGCTTCTCTTGAAAGTAAAATGATAACCCCTCTGGTCTTGTGAACTACTACAACACTCTCTTCCTGTCTTGATCAGCTGGCTCCCATCAAAACCAATTGGGTCTCATTCACACACTCAGCTCCTGAACTCTGCCAAATAAAATCCTGTAAGCACCAGCTTGAAAGACTTTACAGGAAAACTGGTTTAACAGTGCATCTCCAAGCCTACACAGACTACCTCCTACAATACAAAGACACTCACACTCCTGCCCAGTTGGCCTACTACTCACACCTCATACCCTCTGGTTCCACCATCCACAAGGTTCTCTTTTCTACAATAAACAAACTTCTGAAACCCAGTGACAACACCTTCAACTCCCTCACTGTCAACAAGTTCAATTCTTTCCTTTCCAAACCAAAATTGAAGCCAAATTTACGGCCATTTTCCAATCTCCCCTTTCTGTAAAAAATACTGGAATGAGTTGTTGCGTCTGAGCTCAAAGCCCACCTCACCTCCAATGATATGTTCGAACCACTTCAGTCCAGCTTTTGATCACAACATAGCACAGAAACAGCCCTCCTCAAAGTCATCAACGACCTCCTCGCCTCAGATTCTGGTCACCTCAACATTCTCATCCTCTTGAACCCCACTGCAGCTTTTGACACTGGCAACCACACCATTCTTTTCTTTCGCCTTGAATCCTCCCTCACCATCACTGGTTCAGCCCTCTCCTGGCTAAGGTCATATCTCACAAACGGACAACAGTTCATCAACATCAACAGCTGCACTTCCTCTGTCACTCTTCTGTCCCAAGGCGTCCCCCAGGGTTCAGTGCATGGTCCTCTCCTGTTCATCGTCTACATGCTCCCCCTTGGTAACATCCTACGCCATCATGGTCTCCACTTCCACTGCTACGCCGATGACGTCCAGCTCTACATCTCCACAAAATCCATCACGACTGCAATTCATTCCACTCTGACCAACTGGCTCACTGAAATAAAGTCATGGATGGAAACCAACTTCCTCAAACTAAAATAAATCAGACATGGTCATAACCACCCATAACTTCTGCCTCACTATCGACAACTCTACTCTCTCTTCCTCCCCACACAGCCCAACCTTGGAGCTATCTTGGCCAGCAACCTCTCCTTTGAACACCATGTCAATCAAATCACCAGAACTGCCTCTTTGCACCTAAAAAACATAGCTCGTCTATGCCCATCACTTTCCTTCTCTGCTGTTCAAACTTTGATCTATGCCTTCATCACATGCTGAATAGACAACTGCAACAGCATTCTCCATGGCTCATCATCCAAAGTCCTAAATAAACTTCAGTATATCCAGAACTCTGCTGCTCGCCTGCTCACCTGCTCACCTACTCCTCACCTGCTCCCATGACCACATCACCCCTGTCCTCCAGAAACTTCACTGGCTCCCTGTCCCACAATGAATCCAATTCAAAGTTGTTCTTACTCACAAAACCCTCCATAACCAGGCCCCCTCCTACCTCACTGACCTGCTCCGCCACCAGACCCCCTCCTGCACCCTCTGCTCATTTAATGCCAACCTCCAGTCTCCACCATTCAGGACCAAGCACCGGACCTGGGGCGTCAGAGCCTTTTCCATAGATGCCCCCTCCCTCTGGAACTCTCTCCCCAAACACATCAGAGACTGTACCTTGAAAAGCATTACATAAGTGAAATATATTGTTATTATTATTAATATTATTGTTGTTTTTTTTTTTTTTAGAATTTGGCTGCAACATAACAAAATGTGACAAAGTGAAGGTGTTCATACTTTCTGAATGCACCGCATGTATTTATTATGCATCAATGTTATCATGTAGATTATTGTCCCAGCTGTTCTCTTGTTGAGGCAGGACTGCACTCAGTACAGCGCACGCACACACACACACACACACACACACACACACACTGAACAGCAGAGCAGAGAGGCTGCGCTGGACACAGGTGAAGTAAAGATAACTGAAGATTACTGGAGTTGATAACTATTACTGAACTTTACTGTAAGTTCAACAAGCATTAAACAGAAAAGAGATATTTTCATGTATTTTTTCAGCTGTCTATTGCACAACAACATCACGCCGGTTAAGAAAATAGGACCGACAACCAGTCCATGAGAAATCTGTCTTTCCAAAACCGGTCCATGGTGCAAAAAAGGTTGGGGACCACTCTCATAGTTGCTGTGTAAACAATTAATAAAGAAAAAGAATCATTTTATTGTCCAAGTATGATTTACACACAAAAGTTGACCTCTCTATTTCATACACACACACACACACACACACACACACACACACACACACACACACACACACACACACACATATATACACTGCTCAAAAACATAAAGGGAACACTTAATGATCACAGTAGAACACCAGGTCAGTTAAACTTCAGGGATATCAATCTGTCCATTTAGGAAGAACAAGTGATTGTGAATCAGTTTCACCTGCTTTGGTGCAAGTGAAAGTGACAACAAGTGAAAAAAGCAAGACAACCCTCTAAAAGGGAATGGTTCTACATGTGGTGTCCACAGACAGTGGCTCTCTCCTGGTCCTTCCTGACTGATTCTTCTCTAGTTCTAGTTCTCTAGTCCTTGTCACTACTGGTAGCATGAGGCGGTACCTGCAGCCCAGTCAGGTTGCACAATTAGTCCAGTTCCTCCATGATGGCACATCCATACATGAGGTCGCAAGGTTTGCTGTGTCTCCCAGCACAGTCTCAAGAGCATGGAGGAGATACCAGGAGACCGGCTGTTACAGGAGGAGAGCTGGACAGGGCCGAAGAAGGGCATCGGGATGAAATCCTCAGAGTGATTGTCAGACCTGACGCTGGTGCAGTGGGCCCTGGGTTCCTCCTGCTGCAGGACAATGCCCGGCCTCCTGTGGCCAGAGTCTGTAGGCAGTTCCTAAATCCAGTTGAGCACCTATGGGAAGTTATGTATGGGTGCATCTGATGCCGCCAAGTACCGCCACAGACTGTCCGGGAGCTCACTGATGCCCTGATCCAGGTCTGGGATGAGATCCTCCAGGACACCATCCACTGACTCATCAGCAGCATGTCCAGATGTTGTCAGGAGTGTATACAGGCATGCAGGGGCCACTACTGAGTCACTTTATGAGTTGCCTTAATGAAACTGACGCAAGTTGGATCAACCTGTGATTTCCATTTTTTCACTTTGATTTTGGGTGTGATTGTGAATCCAGCCCTCAGTGGGTTGATGATTTTGGTTTCCATTGACCGTTGTTACGTCATTTTGTTCTCAACAAATTATACAATGTCCATCAGAAAAGATTTTCAACTTGAATAATTTCTTCATCAAGATCCAATGTGTGATATATTTTTTTGAGCAGTGTATTTAAATTTGGAGGTTTTGGTTGGCCTTAAGTGAAATATCTTCCTCTGAATAAAACATGGGGATGGATTAAGGGGCAGATGTAGCCATACAGGATACTCTTCATACTGTCCTCTCCCATCCCACTGATCGTGTGCTTCTCCAGGTAAGAAGCAGGTCTCTGCTAAGAAGACTAATAACTGTCTTTATTTTTCACTCTTGCCTTCTGTGTCCCTTTGTTATCCCTCTGTCTATCCAGGTTTTAAGGAAGTGGTCTATCTTTCTGACAAGTACCATGACAAACCGGAGATGAAGGCCTCCAGAAAGCTGCTCAGCCTGGCAGGCGTAAAAGAGAGGTGAGTAGCAGCTTTTCTCTGGTACACAAAAGGACGATTTCACATGGATTTTCAGGCACTGTTGTTTTTTGATGGTGTCGTAATTAACCTCTTTTGTTGCAGCTGGGAGCTGAGCTGTCTCAGCTTACTCAGCTTTTTCCCCTGACATCAAAGGTCAGGTTTTTTTTTTTATGTAATTTTTTCGGCTTTTTAGGCCTTTATTAGAGTAGCAGTGAGAGAGAGAGACAGGAAGGTTGGGGGTGAGAGACAGGGGAGGACATGCAGCAAAGGGCCTGGATTTGAACGCAGGCAACTGCAGTAAGGACTGAGTCCTAATGGTACGCGCTCTACCAGGTGAGCCACCAGGCGCCCCAGGTCTGGCCTCTTGGGTCGAAGCTCAAGCTTATGCTTAAGGTGTTCCACTTCCACTTGCAGGGCGTTTGCCATTGTCAGCCACCGTAATTTCTGCTGGGAGATGGGTCAAGCGTGAAAAATAGGTGAGACGTCAAATCTCTAGATCATGTGACGGAGCCATGAGGTGTGAGACGCTTGCAGCTTGAAGAGTAGCTACACCATGGCTAATAATTGTGCTTGTGCTGCTCTCTGCTCTCACTTCACAGTACACCATTGCTGATGCACAGTTGGGCGTGGTCAGCTGTGATGATGGGCGTGGTCAGACATACAGAGGTCGTTGCCACAATGCTTTTCAGGCTCTGCCCTGGCTGTGTGAATAGATCAGCTGAAGAAAACATTTAGACAATATCAATATATTATTGTCTTTTTTTCTTATCATCTAATTCTTCAACACTCAGTAATCAGTTTACACATGGACCCATTGGCGCTATGGTTAATCCATGGGTCGAAGGGTCGGGTCATAAAAATGAACACTGATTAATAGTTGATGGGTCATGAAAAAAAAAAAAATTACATCCTCTATCCTGGGGACCCAAATGTAGTGCAGTGGGCTCATAATTTTGTGCTATTTGGACACATGACACATTCAGTATTAATAAACTAACAACTACAGATGATAATGGCAAAGTAAAGAAACATGGGATTCTGGGACAGTTCCTGGAAGGAGTCACAGAGAGAGAAGCGACTACATGTTGGGCTAAGTGATGGTTTATGGTTTTCACACACACACACACACACACACACACACACACACACACACACACACACACACAGTTTTTTCTGTTGACAACTATCAGGGGACAGATGAAAGTATCACTTGAAAAGACAATGAAAAGGTGACTTTGGTGCCTCATGTTTTTATTTGGTGTTTCCTGTGTGTCCTCATACCTGTGCGTTCCCGACTTATGTGTGTGTTGTTTTTTCCTCTGTGTCTTTGCAGGCAGTTCAAGCCCAGGAAGATTGAGATTGTCATTCCATTAAATGAATGAATGCTGAACAGCGCAGAACGAAGCGGGGAGGCAGAGGAAGACTGACGAGATTGAATGCCTCATTTTCTGTATGTCTTCTTGCCCCCTGCTTTGTCCAAAGGGAAACTCAAGGATACCTCGACTATGGGGTCTTTTGATATTTTGATTTAACGGGATATTCAAGATAGTTTAATCTGAGGCTTCACCCTTTTTGGCTGACTGCAGTGGAAGGTCTTTCCATGCTGCTTTCAAAGTTTTTATTTTTTTCTGTCTTTTAAAATTTCCTTTGGGTTTAGGAATACACAAGAACCTTGAACACTCTGTGTTGAGCGTTTGATTTTAAACTCTTTTGTGTTGTCAATCAGATCTTCTCATGGCTGTCTGCACAGGGGAAAACCTGAAATCAGTTTTTTCTCCTTCAAACCAGGTTCCACATTAATACAGAAGTGTCTTGATATTCAGTTCATTTGACCTTCCACATTCACAGTGGATGCTGCCCAATAAATCAGTCTTGTTCTGTTGACACCTGAGAGCTGCTGTGTTACTGTCGGCCTCGTAGCATCTGGGTGAACAGTTGGGCTTTCAGGGGCACAGACTGTGTGTACGCTAATATGTTACAAGTAGTTTATAAAGAATGTTGAGACCTGATAATCCAATCTTGGTACAAATTTCACTTTTAGAGTGAATTTCTTTATAATGCTGATTGGTTATTGAAACAATTGTGTTCTGAAAGTGTTGCTGCTTCAGTTGGTGAGACAAAGTTTCTGTGATTGGAATGGGTTATTGTGTAAAATGTCTTAATATTATCAATTGTAGTTACAACTATTGGTGACACGATGCACTGCAGGGTTTCAGAAAAGGTGTTAGGCCAAGGGGGTCGCCCCGAATTCCCCAACCTAGGCTCAGAGGGCTGCCAGGCTCAGAATACACTGGTTTGATTGTAATGTATTCAGGGATGCCTGACTGCAATATGTGATGGGTCGAAAGCAAGAATGTTTAAATCCAGAGCCAGCAGATTCTCTTTTAATTATCACTGGTAACACTTCTTATTTTAGATTTCTTTCATGGTGCCAAAAGGCTCTTAAAAACATCTTTCTTTATTGTATCTGTGGATGATTAGACCACATGCTGTTTCTTTTTGCTGTCATACTGTCTAATACGTTGTTGAAGACAAGCATATAAAACCTAATCATTTGTTCCTAACATATTCAGAGTTTTCCCATCAATATATACTCAATAAACCACAATGACAAAGTGAAAATGTGTTTTTTTGAAATTTTTCATAGTAAGATAAAAATCAAAAAATGAAATGTCTCATTCACAAAAGAATTCGGAGTTAATTCAGTACTTTGTAGAAGCAGCAGCAGTTACAGCATCCAGTCTTCTTGGGTCTGTCTCTGTAACCTTTGTACACCTGGATTTGGGCAGTTTATCTCATTCTCCCTGATCCTCTCAAAGTCAGTCAGATTACACCTGTGAACAGCCATCATCTGTCTCTCCACAGATGCTCTAAGAGGTTTAAGTCGGGCCTTGGCTGGCCCACTCGTACTTGTGTCGTTTCTTATCAGTTTTTTAATGTGTTCCCCTGACTGCAATTCAAGTTTCCCACTTGGGATAATAAAATGAATCTGAATCTGAAATCTGAAAATCTGAGACATAAAGTGTGATCCATGAGGTCGAGCTGGAGTGACACATTAATGAACACAGCGAACACAGCGTTACACTTCCAATTTCTTCAATCAGGAACAAGTTATAAATCACCTTATTCATTCTATACTCAATTTAGTCTTTATTCCACGTGTGAGGAAGTAGCTCCCTGTGACTATTTTAGAGGGAAAAACTCATCTTGAGATAAAGTTGTTTGTAAAGTTTTTTTTTTTACTTAATTTATATTTGTAATAGAACCTGCTTTGTAGTTAAACTCTTCGAACTTATGTCATGTTTATTGTGTTTCTCATGTTAGTTGTCAGTACTAATGTTTTAGCTGTTAGCTGTAAATTAAGCTACTTCATGGCTACAAGAGTCTGGGTTAGTTGTAACAACAATACACACACACGCACGCACACACACACACACACACAGAGGAGGGGCCGTCAGGGACATTATCTAGAATTACCATGCATATACACATGTGAAACCATACTCATTCGCATACTATACTGAAAACCTCACACACAACAAGTGAAAAGTTTTTACACACACAACTGAAAATGCTTGCACACATACTAGTAAAATGCTCTCATATACACAGCTGATACTCCCTTATAATATTGTGATCAAGCGTTTTTTGAAGTACAATGAGAGAAGTGACCTGGTCAGTTTACTTTGCGGACAACCAATTTGTAATTTGAAATGAGAATATAAAAATAGGGAAAGAAAAACGGTAAACCACCCGTTTACTGTTTTTCATTTTGATAATAAATAACGGAGCATATATTGCAGTGTCTTGCAGTGAATGCACTTCGGCTTCATCCATACACTGTCGCAGCTTTTGCTGTTTTCTACCAGGCAATACCCTAAAAACTTTACCCTAGCAACTGCTTCCCAACGTCTTCACAGGATTTTTCTTCTTCTGACTGTGCTGCACAAGAAGTCTGTCACATCAAACAAGAGGGGCAATAACTAAGATAAGTATTCAGCACAGTTCTCTCTCATGTCGGTTCTTGTTCATTATTATAAAAAAAAAAGATTGACGGCAATGTTAGATAAATGAAACAATATACAATAAGCTTTTGTACTAGGCCTACATAAACTACATTACATGCTACATTTATGATAATCAGTTGCATGCTAATAGTCAGTGGAAACGCGTTTGCTTACAGCATGCCAAATGTCAGAAAGAGGAAGACAGACAGGGGAGACCCACTTCCTTTGCTGGAGAGGGCTTCAGATGAAAGACAGGCCAAATCAGTCAGGGGAGTGGCCAAATCATATGACATTTGCCATGTGATCCTGTACCGTTTTCACAAGAAGAGGCAGAGGCTGGAGTGCCAGGATCCAATTTGATCCCCAGAGTAGGGTACTGGACCCTCAAGACTTTTTGGTCTTCCTCAAGCACTTCCAGACTAACACCAAGTCCTCACTGGAGTCAAAAGTGCTGCTAATTCTGGACAGTCATTCCTCCCACCTTTCTGTGGAGGGGACTGATTTTTGCAGGAGCCATGGGATCATCCTCCTCTCATTCCCCCCACACTGTTCCCATAAGCTGCAGCCCTTAGATCGCAGCGTATATGGGCCACTGAAGAGGCTCGTCAACAACTGCTGTGACAGCTGGATGAAAACTCATACAGGAGTCACAATGACCATTTATGATTTGCTGAGCATTGTGAAAAGTGCCCTTCCCCTGGCTGCAACGCTATCAAATATCCAGGCAGGGTGCATGCACTGGAATTTGGCCTTTTTAAAAAGAGATATTTTCAGTGACAGTGCTTTTGCACCATCCCTAGACACAGACTGCCCACTGCCAGTGACACCAGAGTTTCCATCTTCCACTGCAGCTGCAATGAATGCAGTTGCATGGACTACAGGTCCAACACCCACTGTGGCAACTGTGGCATCCTACATGCCACTTTCCTCTGCCGTGGTCTGACCGATCACACGGCGGCAGTATGTCAGGTACACGTTAATCAGCAGTCATTAATGACCCACACCTTACTAATTCAAAAACTCTTCACAGACAGACATTATAGACAGAACAAATTAATATTGACTTGTTGAATTACATGAAGATGTAGAGTAGTATTTCTGCATGTGAACAACTAAAGACGCTACACATGATACAACTTTCTATTCACGTTCTGTGGCCTTATATCAAAGCCTAAAGAACCTAAGACTCTGATGCCATCTACATTCAACAGTGTTTCTGGTCAATATAGATTTTATTGATTTTTGGATGGACCACGACCGCAGGACCAGACCTTTAATCTAATGTCCCTGACTGACAGATGGAGGCTGTGCTCTGTGAGCGGTCAGTGTACAGTAAATACAGTTGAAATCACAGCTCAGTCTTTGATTTAGGTGTTTGGTGATTTTGTCAGATACGGTGCAGGTTTACACCTGGTCTTGTTGTTTAAATAAATGAAGGAGGAATTAAATGACTTCTTATTAATCTCTGCAGATTTCACTTTATGGTAAACCCTATGATTTATAATTTTACATGTACCAATTAATGCTGCTCAGTATGCATGCTTATTTATTAAAGCAGTAATTGGTCATTTTTTGATCCAGTTTAAAGTGGCTGCATGTGACCAAATCAAAATGTTTTTGGAATTAATGTTTTTCATATTAATTGTTTTAAAAGGGGGAACGCCACTGATTTCACATCATTTGACTACAGGTTTTACACTGAGAAAAAGCTGAGTCGCCAGAGGAAGCAGTACAAAATCTCTCTGCCTGGAGTGATGTCACTTGTATCAGTAACAGAAGTGAGCTCACCAGACCTCAGCAGTCTGCTCCTCATCTTTGCTTGAGGCTACAGTATAACACACCCAACCCCCCATTTTCCACCATCTGTCAGAGGTCAAGTTGCATTGTGGGTAATGTAAGTGCCTGGTTTCGACAAGGAAGAACTAAAAGACGATATTCTCTGGTTCTGGAGTCAAACAATCACTGGAGAATTAACAACACAAGAAAAGAGTCCATGTTTTATATAAGAGAAATACTTTTAATTTGAAGGTTTGTCACAGGCATAATCGTAAACAAGATATTTAAAAATGCAGATTTCATATTTATCCTCATTCAGACTGTGCACCTCTCATGCGTTCTGTGTTGCTGTCATTCACATACGTGCGTGCGCACACACACACACCAGAGACTACACACACAAAACAAACAAGTGACTAGAGATTCTGCTGGATTAAAATGACCCACCATAGATTCTTCATAGATTCTCTCTCTCTCTCTCTCTCTCACACACACACACACACACACACACACACACACACACACACACACACACACACACACACACACACACACACACACACAAAGACAAAGGTCTGCATCAAGTGGGGAGAGGGCTGTGTTCATGTCTGTAGTATCTTCTACCTGGACAAAGCAGTGATCCTGAGAAACACAAAGAATAAACCGTTTATTTTCACAGTTGGTGCAGCGAGCGTAAGTGAACAATGAGAGACCTCATTGATCACATGACCTCTGTTTAAACACATCACAGGTAGATACCGTTTAAAAAACCAAGACGTTTTACTTTGTGTGCGTGTATGTAACTCACTGCAGCTTGTTCTGTAGCAGCTCCAGCCTCTGTCGGTCGACGTAGCGTGAGAAGAGGGAGAGCAGGTTGGAGGGGGTGAAGAGAGGAGGAGAGAGGGAGGAGGGGGGGATGCTGAGCAACTCCCTTGTCACTGAAAACACCAACTCAGTCCTGGACAGGGAGAGAGGTTGCGTGTGTGTTAATGGGGATGATGGGAACCATTGTGTCATGATGACATCACCAACATATGCACCGCTCACCATCGATTGTCGTCCATGAGTTGACAGTTGGAGTCTGAGCTTTGCATCCTCTCTCCTTCACTCAGGATCAGATACAGCAGAGTAACACCACACTGCACAGGAGCAGAACCATGAATCAAACAATGAATCAATTGTTAAAATGGGTGTGAATTGTTTTTCTGTCAATCAACTAATCGATTTATTTACTATCATTTGAGCTCTTATGGAGTTGGTTGAAAGTGTAGAAGAGCGACAGCCTCGTCATCAGACACCATGAAGAACAAGTACAGATTTTATAAGTCTGACCAGAGGGTCGCCTTTCTGCTCTCAGGTGAATGAGTTACTGTGTGTGTACCTTGTTGTGCAGCACTGTGGCCAGTTGGCCCTCACTGCCCTGAAGCTCCTGTAGCAGATCTGTGAGGGCAGAGCTCGACAATGATTGGATCACAGCAGAAACCGGCTCCACTAACCAGCACAGCACCTGGACATGTTTATATTCACAGTCAGTCTTTTGTATTACATGTTAGATGACACAACACATCCACCCAGAACTGTTTACTGAGCAACACTGTCCCTAAAACCTACTGTCGCTCCCTGTTTGTAACAAAAAAAATAATGTTGGATCAGATCTGATCCAATTTTGGAATTTGGAATTCATCATCATGTCATCATAGGACAAATAACTACACAGCTCCGGCTGTGAATCATCAGTGAGTTTATTCTGTCACATACTGTCTTTTTTCTTGTCATGCAAACATTAGGGTTTGTTCCTTTCATGCTTGTTCGTTCACCGATCTTCTTCCATCTTATTATTCCTCGCGTTTTATGGCCATTGTTTGCTATTTTTTACGCTTCCGGGTGTCCCCTGATAACCATGGCAACCCCGTGTTTAATGTCACAACGCTATGAACTTTGGGTAATTCCCTCAGGCAAAGTCTGCAGAAATGGGGACTTATGGAAAGTGTGCATTAAGGGCTCAAAATGTCTGGTGGAGAGCCCTCATGCCCTCGATGGTTTGACATTGGGACAGAACTAAGCCCTCGCAGACTCACAGGGAACTCGCCTCCAAGTCTGTGAGGGCTGGACATTGGGATTGGGCCTGTCTGTGTGTCTGTGTGGTATTACCAGTCTGTACACAAGTGTCTACTGCTATCCAGTATGATCTCATCATGCAGCTAAACACAATGGACTGTAAGTCAATATTGGGATTAGCATGTAAAAGGATGAATATGTCAGGTTTTGACAATTAGCATTATAAACATTGTTTATCGTCTCAGATGAGATAATCAGTCGTATTCTTTCTCTTCATTCAAATAGGCTACCTGTACAATTTCTGTGGTTGCCATGGTTAAACAGTGACAAGTTGAAAAAACTGAACGCAGACCCCCCCGTCCTTGCCACTGCTCTTGTCCGTTAACACCATGTTAACAAGGCGACGGCATTGACCACAAAGCTGAAAACACCTTTATGATGCAGACACACACTACTCCTACATGTCTGATATTTTCATTATGAAAATGTTGTAACATCTTGAAACGGTTACCTGATCCTGCTTGTCCTTCTTGGCCAGGGCAGGAAGGTTGCGTGCAATCGCCATGACAACGGCGGTGGCCTGGGCCGAGGGCAGGAGGGGAAGGAGCCTAGATATGAGCCGCTTGCCCTTCCTCACTGACATGATCATCACACACTGCTCATCACTTACTCTTAAGAAGAGAAGAGAAAGGATTAGTGTGCAGATGGGCATATCTGCACTGACTGGATAAGAAGGTCTGCCGAGTGCAGCTCTTGTAGTTCAGGTATTCCTCCGTCTCTCCCTCCCTCCTACCTGTCATCCCACTCCTTCTCCCGCAGAGAGTTGCACAGCTGCACTGTGTTGGTTTTATGCTGCTCCAGCAGAGACTCTCGGTCTTCTTCTGGAGCCTGGACAAAACGTTTCTCAAAGTCTTGCACCTCCAGCAGTAAGCTGTACATCTGGAGGACAGGGTTGGATGGAGGGACAGAGAACAGGGTCACAGAGGTGTATTTAGGATCCGGTAGTGTATTCTGCAGTTTGACTGAACAATGCACAGCCATGCTCGTCCTACCTTCTCCACGGTGTAGAGGATCTGTCGCCTCTTATTCCAGACCTGCTTCTCTCTTTTCTCCTAGAGGCAGAGGACAGGCAGAGTGACCAAACAAAATACTTCAAGCAGCACTGATTAAAAGCAGGGGTGAAAAAGGCGACAAAGATGTGACTACTACTAACACACCGCCCCTCCCCCTCCTGCCTCTTCAAATCGCCACAGAGACAGTTCCACCACAGAAAAGGTCTGTCCGTTTGGTGCATTTAGCTGCATCTTTTGCCAACAATTCTCTTTTTTTTTTAATTCAGATTTTTTCTGCATCATCCATTTCTTTTTCACCTCTTCTTTTTTTTTGCCATTGTTTTCTGCCAAAAATACTCTGATCTTCTCTTACTACACATACTTGATGTAAAGTAAACTCCTCTGCTCAGTGCCGTTGAGGCGATCAGATTTCAACAAAATGAGGATCAGTTCAAATCGGGAGGGGCCACTCGTATCCTCCCTCAATACTGAAAGTGTTAGATTGGCCCAGTCTGATACAGACAGCCTTCCGCTGCTGCTGCTGCGCGGCACAGCCAGGCCAGTCCATTCCCCGGCTGCAGAACATACAGTAACTGTTATCAGAAGTTGAAAAATTAAAACTCTGACCACCGGCTGGTTTGGGCTGGAATGGACCGGCTGTTTGGGATTCTTCCCAAACTTTGCCAGGGAGCAAATCCAGACACCCTATGCAGCAGCAGCAGAGTTGCTTAGATGTAAACCTGCATATCAATGTGATGATACAGGGTGACCTGATGTTCTGATGTATAACGTTAGTTATGTGGATACAACTATGTGGATATAGACATTGGCTCGATTAGGGTAAGAACATCAGGCTAGCCAATCAGATCAGACAAATGGTAGGGCGAGCCATGCGTTGCTTAGACACCAACCAACCCGACCTGGCTTCCCTGTCCATGTGACCAAAGCCAACAGCTGTGGAGGGTCTCAGTGCCTCCTGCAGTGAAAACAGCCTTGTAGTGAAGAGAACGGCTTGAGGCTGGTGCTGTGAGGCAGATGTGGTAAACAATGAATCCCTCTATTGCTGGTCAAGTTTAGCCTTAGCCCCTTTGTCTAATACCAATATATATATATATATATATACACACACACACGTATATACACACACACCTTCATTCAGAAAATACTGTTGTTGAAACAGGTGTTTACAAAGACACCACTGAGCCGTCAGAAGAAACAATGAAACATGTTAACAGACCTCATCATCTGTGCGAGTCGTCACCACAGCATCAATCATCTTGCGAGGGTTGTTGACACTAGAGACCGTCAGCTTCCCTAAAGAGCCTGCAAACTGAACTGTGGGTAAAAACACAAGTAAACATTCAGCACAGGTCCCCAGTGTCATGTGTGTGATCTCATACTATGGAGAGCGGGAAACATTCAGGTGTCATTTACCTGGTCTGTAGGTGTGTTCAACCTTGGCGACCTGAGGAGTGATGAGTTTGGTGGTGTGTTCCTTCTTACTGCTGTCTGTCTCTCTCTCCTGACGTTTCTCCATCTTTTCATAGTAATTCTACACACACACAGATTATTTCCATTATTGCTTAAAATCACAATTATAATAATATATAATAATAATTCCACAGCCCCATGTGATGTCTTCATGTTAGTCCGATCAAACCGTCCTCACCCTGTGAATTTTTATGAGCGACTGTAGACTGAGAGGATACCGTGGCCTCAGATACCTCAACTTAACTTTGCTGCCACATTCAGCCAGTCATTCTTCGGGATGGGAATCACGCTTTCGCAAGAGGCAGTCAGCACAAACGTCAACGAAGGAGCCGAGCAAGTGTGGCTTAATTTCACACAAAACGACGCTTACAGTGCAACGTGCCATGTCTGTGGCACTAAGATTTCAAGCAATGGTGGAAACACCAGCAACATGCTGAAACCTTTGTCGACGCAGCAAAGGCATTAAACATCAGGAGTGCCATGTGTTTGACGCTCTACGCCGCTGGTCAACAAGTGCTTCCCGGTCTCAGCAGAGCAGTGAAGGTGGGTATTAGTGATGTGTCAGTTGTGAACGATTCGGCTCTTTCAAGTAAACGACAGTAGCTAGCTCCTGTTGAGAGCCGTGGTTTTTTTTTTGTAAATTAACACCAGGCAAAATGATAGAATGATCTTCTCTGCGCCACAGGCAGGCACTGCATGCTGACTGTGACTGGATGATTTGTTTTTTGGATATTCTATTATTTATTTTATATGGACATCACAGTAGCATTAGAATTGTGACGTACATTTAAGTACAAAAACCAGATGAACTGTGTGTGTTTAGTGTTTGTAGCGAAACACTACAACGTTCAGTATAAATAAAACCTTTAATACGCATGTAATAGTGTTTGATGTTTTTACATTTAATCTTTTCTTTTTAATCATCATGTAAAATTATGGTATTAGGGAAATTATTGACACTGTTGACCACCAGTAGACAAGCTGTCCGCTATGCTGAGGACTGAGGTAGGCCTGGCCTGTTTATTTTATATTGAGGCCTGAAAAATGCAACAGCAAGTTTATATTTTGTTCACCTGTTGGCTGTTTTTGATCATTAACTAGTCGAGAGTGGAGGAGGAGGAGGTTTTTCTTACAGCGCTCTTGGTGATGGAGGATTCAATATACATTTTCGTTATGTTTAACTGTTTATACATTAAAGAGTCTGGATAATATTTGCTATTTATTTTAAGTTATAAAATATTTTCCTGCATTGGAGATCTAGACTATTATGCCGGTTTTGCACATGTAAAAATAAACCCCTTCTTATGAAAAAGAAAATGGGTCACAGACACGCATCCACTCTAAATAGTACATTTTAATCTTGTCAGTTAACGGTTCATGGTAGGTTAACAAGCAACAGCTATCAGTCAGAAAAAAAAAAAATCAAAATGAGCAACCCAGTCAAGGTCGATGGAAACTGCTCTGTTCAGTATTCAGATTCATTTAAACCGAACAATCAGAAAGTTTGAGATCACTAAATGTTGTCTTTTTATACTTAACTGCACAACAGCTTCAAACCTCACTGGGCTGAGACCTGCCTATGGTATCAGTAAAATCTTATCAATTTCCAACCCCAATCAAAAGTGATTAAGGTCAATGACAACCAACCGGGTAACCACAACAAATACCAACCTGATAGTAGTAGTCATCCAGGTAAGGGTCAGTACTTTGCAGCTGCATCATCTGGATCTTGGTGACCCACTCCTTCTCTTTCTGAGTCATCAGATTACTATATGGGTCTCTGCTGCGCCGGTCCCCTCCAGTCCGGCCTCGGTCCCTACAGGGAGGAAAAGAGATGAGGATGTAATGGTCTCTGTGGTCTTCTGGTGGAGAGACGGTCTTCTACCTTACAGTCTTCTGTTGTATGTGATGTTTATAAATATGGACGACCTTAAAGCTCCATATTTTCCTCTTATCAAGTGTTTTATCTGAAGTGATCTGAAGTGTTGATCCATAAGAAGATATAATTCTCTCTCAGGTTTCTCTCATTCACATTCCTGCGTGACACCTGCAGCTCTATTACTGTTCATATGTGCGCACACACACACACATACTTACCCTCCTCGGCTCTGCATGCGCTGGGTGAGCATGCGACGGTGCTGAGGGTGGAGGTGGGTGGTGTTGTGCCGGATGGGTGGCGTGTGGTTGGGGGGGCCATGAGGAGGCAGTGGCCCCATACGGTGACCGTGTGGAGGAGGCGGGCCCCCAAAGAATGGCCTGAAACCTCCACCACCTGGTAACAATGGAGGTGCTGGTCCACCGCGGGCAAACCCTGCCACCTGGAGAGAGACAGATGAGGACTGAGTGAAGTGTCCAGGTACTGAGGCTGCTGTGTCAGGAAGACAACTGTCAGCCATCTCATCATCACACTGACGCTTCGCCTCTCCACTAGTATCAAATAATGTCACTAGGTTCTGTGTGCAGGCTTTCATCCAATGATCATCTTAGTTGAAGAACATTCAAACCCATGAAATGTCTCTCTGTAACTGCCACTACCTCTCCTGCACACCACCACCACCAATAGTATCAAGGCCCCCTCATCTCAGATCTCAGACTCCCAGTTTAAAAAGACTGTGTGTAGGTGTGTGTGGTAACAACCTGAGAGTTGAGCAGCTGGGCTCGTTGAATCTGGGACAGAACTGGACCAACTGCAGGAGGGAAGGGACCACGACACAGCGGAGAGTTCTGAACATGAAGCACAAAATAACTTTACTTGTAGCTCAGAATAACCTTGATTAAAGAACATGGAACTTGGTTCACAGCTTTATCTGACCAAAGTACTTTAGGTAAACGCCTACGTAAATATATAAAATGCTATATGTTTGCATTTTATATTATGACTATATCATATACAAAAATAAATAAGTAAAACAAATGTATAAAATAAGAGAAAAAAAAACAAAACAAGAAAACATACTGTATACAGTAACATAGCATACTAAATACTGTATACAGAAACATAATAAATATACTAAACATACAGTAAACAGAAACATAGCATACTAAATACTGTATACAGAAAAAAAAACAAAACAAAAAAAACAAGAAACAACCAGGAGCTAACTAATAATTATGACAACAGATTTGAAGGTTAGTGAGAGAAACAGAATAAAATGTCTTTAGCAGAGATTTAAAAACAGAGATGGAGGGAGCTCATCTGATATGAAACTGGTTCCATAATGTTTGAGAAGGAACTGCAGAGGATCTGTCACCTTTTAGTTTCAGTCGGGACATAACGAGAGATAAGCTTTCAGATGTAAGAGATTGAGGAGCTGAGAGACATCTGTGATGCGAGGTGAGCCTGACCATTAACATTCTTAAAAGTAATCAGGTCTCAGGCTAAGACCAGTCAACATCCTTACAGCTGCAGGTGAGATAATGAAGACTGGAGAAGTCTGAACACAAAGAACTCGAAAGGTCCAGTGGAGTTGAGACGTTCTCCATCTCATGAAAGAAAGAATCAGCTTAGGTCTAGCAACTATTTTTAACAACAGAGGTGAAAAACTCACAGCTATATTGAGGAGGGTGTTGGGTGACAGACGCTCGGGGAAAGGAGGTGGGTATCTGTGCTGGACTGGGGCTCTCACATGAACTGCTGTGGGATGATGGGCCTACACACACACACACACACACACAGAGAAGAGGATGAGGTTAACACAGACAATGCTAACTATGTGCTCAGCAATATCACAACACGATGCAGAAAAGTAACTGCTACAACTAATGAGACTGCTACACACAGTGTAATGGGGCAGACTGACAACACCAACCAGATATGTTACTGTTCCACTTTAAATGTGGACATTACTGCTGTCAATGTTTGCAATGTTTAAGTCCTGTGTGTATCTGACTTTAGGTGTTTTAGTGGTAGGAGCACTATGATGTCTGAAAATCTTTGGCTTCTACAAAGACAAATATTGTAAACGTGAGATTCAGTTTCCATTCGGTCCTTAGAAATAATAACATTAAATAGAATAATAATAAAAAAAAGGAAGAATTGACAGAGGAAGAATATCAGCAGGGAAACACTGCAGAGTGACGACCACAGTGTTCTGCTACTCACCTGATGATTTAGAGCGTGGCTCATTGGCTGTTTGGGTGGGGTCCCAATGGGCACTGCCCTCACCGGAGGGGAGCCAATCACAGGGGAAGAAGAGCGTGGGGGTGGGACCCTCTCTGACAAATCCCGTCCTTCATCAATCCTACTCTGAGAGGGTAACTTAGGAAGGCCCACCTCTTTGATTATAGACATTAGTGGACTGTCCTGAAGAGGAAGAAATTGTTTTAAAAAAATCAGAAAAACATTAGTCCAGAATCAACAGCACATCGAGTCTACTGTATAAACTCTGCAGATATGTGTGTGTGATAACAGTAATGACACAATATTTCACACTGACAAAGGCTGTAATAATACACTGGCAAGAAAAAGTAAAACCTTCAGAAAATGTGAATTTATGAATCAATTTGTCCTAAAATATGATCAGATCGCAAGTAACACAACAACACTGTTGTTCTTGTTCAAACATTCACAGTGTATCAACAGTTTTAATACGTCTGTGTCACCGAGTTAAAAACCTCTCTAGGTCCAACTTCTGTTTGCATGTAGGAGGATGAGCTGCAAACATGCTGCTGGTCTTCCTGACCTTCATGTACAGATTGGGTCACCATGCAGCACAGTCTCATTAACTTGCCTCAGACTAGAGGACTCCCAGTTATCAGTCACTCCTGGTAAATTGGAACCTGGTTCTGGGAAAACTTAGATTTCATCCACGTGTTCCAGTTGTAGCACAAAAGGTTTGAGATGTTCTGAAAACATTACATTAAGAATTGTTTTGTATCAAAGTAAACCTGCTGCACCCAAGATCCACCTTTTATAATCAAATCGAACATTTTGTGCAGTGCCTTCATGTTTGAAAGTTGAAGACACAAGCCAGTTAAGTATGAGGCTCTTTCCTTTGTTGATAAACCTGCTGTGTCCCTGAGTAACTCCTAACTATTATCAGTCTCTTTAAGTTATTACTCTTTTGTTGTATATTCAATTATTTCATTTAGACAGACGATCATTCTGTTCATTTGTTATTTATTTTGCATTTATCTTTGTTAGCTTGGTGCTTGGGAGCAGGTGAACAGGAAAAATGATGATGCTGCTCCAAACATGAAAACTAGAGGCACATGGTGATGCCATGATATAAAGGAGAGCGGCTGTCGCACAGTCGTGACACAGTGAAGCTGTGAATGTCACTGTGAAGGTTAAGAAACACATCTACTAGCCAAATGTCCCACTAGGATCATTCCTGAAATGTGTTTGTAGTTATGCCCCTTGATTCTATCAGCTGATGTGCTGGTATGGCTCTGCATGTTGTTGAAGGTGAGTCCCTCACCTCCATGTGTGTGATGAGTCCGGGGGTGACGCTGACGGGCCCAAAGCCCATACTGTTCTCCCAGATACTGTGAGAGTTCATCTAAGACACAATGACAGACATTCAACTTTTTGATTTTACACAGATGAAGTTGAAATAATTATGACTGCAGTGATGTGGTTTCAGCACAGCATTTATAAAATAAAATAAAAGAAAAAGTGAGAAGTGAAAATCATGTATGAAGAAAGTAAGAAGATTAATATTTTGTCCAGGTGAAGAAGATGAAAAAAACCAGACCATTACAAGCTGTAGCTTGTAGAGCCCAGTGAAAACAGGCTCAATGTGTCAGACACAGAAAACAAATCAAACAAATATCTGAAATAAAACCACTGAATGTCAATTTACAGCCACCTGAAGTACAGGAAAAAATGATCAAATGATGAATAAATATAACTTGTTTTATGTATCTGCCCTCTCCCATAAAGAATTAAAATCACCCTTCTTGTGAGATTTTCAGATCTGCAGCCAAGTTTCAACCCAATAACTTCTAGATGTGATGAAACTATATCAATACTACACAAAATAAAAACTGGTGGAGAAATTCATTTTTGAAAATGAATGATGAAAACAAATATATTGATACTGATTTTTATAAATTTGATTAAAGTAAAACATACAGCAAGTTGTCCTTGGTGTTTCTTGGATGTTCACTACAAATTTCAACCCAATCCAACATCAACTGATGAAGTATAAACGATCAAATTTAGCTCAGAGGGCCAAACTTCAAAAATTCATGACTAAAGTCTTTGAAGCACAGCTGCAGGGAGGTCCCATGAATTTAGTAGAAGTTTTCACATGAACTGGGATGTTGTTGGTATGGAATGACCCACTGGCAGACAGAGATAATTTCAACTAACCTGGCTCATAGGCGCAGCCCCTCTGTGCAGCATGTGCTGCTGCTGCTGGTAGCTGAGCACCGATGGTGGAGGGCCAGGAGGAAGGCCTGGAGCGGAGCATCAGAACAGATTTCAGTAAAACAGGCCAATACAAAAAACTATACAGCACAGTGAACCACTGTCACAGAGGAGATGAAAACAGGCTGTGGCTAAAGCTGAGAAACTACTGTGTTTCAAACCAAAAGCCAAACAGGGTGACTAAACAGAAGATATGATTTCAGCTACAAAATGTTCAGACTGAACAAAATACCCTGTGAATTATAGGATTCACTACGTGCAGTGTTTCCCCTATATTCATTCAGCAGGGACACACCACCGCTGCTAGATTATGGGCGCTGATTAATATCAACAGGCTACTAATGATTTTCACTGGCACACTGTGTGACCACGACAACACCCAACATCCACTAGTGCATCAAATCCTCCCGGACCCTCTGTTAATTCTTCAAAGGACATCTACATAAAAGGTAACGTTAGTTTAGTGTAGCTCCTTCAGGGAATACGGCAGTGCGTAACAAGTGAGCGGCAGAAAAGTGACGGTGAAGTGGTGAATGCGAGCGGAGCAGAAGAAAAGGTTACCATTAAGTTCAAATGTACAGTATGGGCTGAAATGTGTCAGTTAATAAATGCTGCAGCTTCTCAAGAGCAGAAACCTGCTGGAGAAGTGAAGGGGGTTAGCCCTAGCAAACATCTCCCCAAGAAAGGCTAACGTTAACAGTACATTTTTTGGCTTCTATGTAACATTAGCTACATTCACAGGAAGTCACGTTAATTAGCTGCTTGTCCTTACTACATGCGTTACAGATCCTCTGTTAGTAATTACAGCAGAGCTAGTGGCTCCACAGGGTAAGGCAAGCTACTTGACTTAGCTGCAATGATATTACTACCTTACTTACTTGTCCAGTAAGTCGACATCAGGTACAAGCTTAGACTAAACTCAAATTTGTCCTGTACACATACATCTTGAAAGTTAAATTATATATTTCTATATAATCTTATATTTTCAGATGACTATTAATTACTATTAAACTGGTTGGTTAGGAGGAGAGAGGAGGATGGTGACCATGGAGGAGCTGGAGTTAGTAAAGCTAATTAGAGATGCAAAGTAGTCACTTTTTAAGCTAATGAGAAGTTTCTTTTGGATTTTAATAGCAATGTGTTTAATGTGGAGTAAATAAATGATGGTTACATGTTGCCTTTCTAAGATCTAAATTTACCAATATGGGGGCCAATGTTGTTTTTATTATTAATTTATTTTATGCTATTGTTATTTTAGCTTGGAAAAATGTATATATCAATGCAGAAGCCACAGTTAACTTTAAATTTTCAATAAATAGCACAACTAATTTTTTGTGTTGTGGTATTTCATTTTTTGATATTCATTTCTACAGATAAATGTTAAAAATGAAAATTAGGATGCAAAAGACAAACACGAATAATCCTATCTGTAATGAGTCTAAGGTTCATTCAATTACTACTTAAACAGCCCTTATCTTTAAATATTTGAGCAAAGACTGACATCATGTTGCACAAATAGAATTATAATGATTATGTCTGAGGGATAAAAAGCTTCCTACTTGAAGACAAGACTACGTCCAAACTAGTGCTGACCGATTAATCTTATTTTCATCGTCATCTCGACATGGACGTGCAAAAAACACATCGCAAAAGAAGATGAATCATAAAAAAACAATTTTATTTACATGTCATGCACGCAGGGTTTTCATGGCGCAGCGCCTGAGCCAAATGAACCTGGAAAAAACTCTAGCGCCTTTTGGTGTCCAGCTGCAGCCTCTCAACACACACAGCAGACAGCACAAGCGGCAGTGGAGACAAGTAAGGAGTGAATTTTTTTTTTTTTTTTTACCGGAGCTGACAACAACTATGGTCTAGCACTGCGAGCGTAATCACAAGCTTTGTGAGTAAAAATGCAATTAGCATCCAGCATTACACCACCTGTTCAACAACATACTAGCTACATGTAGCTACATTTTCAACTTCTCCCATCCACTGCAGTTTGTTTCACACAAACGCAGTGCGCTAACCTTAAGCTAAGAGCGAACTGTTATGAACAAGCTAAATGGAAAACTCCCTGTGTGTAGACTTCAGCTTCATTTGACACAAACTTTTGTAAACTTTTAACAGAGGAGATGACCAACAGTGACCCTTGTCTGTGTTCGTCATTCAGTTTCGCTCAGCAAAACTGTATGCACACTTCAGTATTTGTTCATTTATCACAAGTCATATCGTCATGGCAATATTAAACAGTGTCACTGCACATCGCAAATTTTCCTCGTGTGGAAAACTGTTGTGGAAACACTGGAACTACTACTTTCAATGGAAAGTTGCTGAAGCTGCTGGAAAAGTCACTGAATGTTGCCAAATGATGCAATACACAAATTAGCATATTCATGACATCATATCATCATTCCTCCTAGTGTCAGCTGGTCTCTGTCTAGTGTGAGCTGGAGTTTCAGTCTAGTGTCAGCTGGTCTCAGTCTGGTATCAGCTTGTTTCTAGTTCTGTTGTCATGACAACGGAACAAGTTTGAAACTGTGACTGAAATGTGGCCAGAGAGAGAGAGAGCAAGAGAGAGAAAGAGAGAAAGGCTAGTAATGGACGCTGGTTAATTTGGTAACTGATGTCACCAATACAAACACAAAAAGTATCGCATTCATTCTCACCTGAAGTGGAAGGTCCAGGAGGCAGCTGGTTCTGGGGATGATGGGGATGCTGGTGCGGTTGTGTGGGTTGTGGGATGGAGCAGTGCTGGGGCAGGACTCTGGGCCGGTCCAGTCCCTGAAGAGCGGACAGGCCGGATCCTGAAGAGCCCATGGATGGACAGGGCCTCTGTGTTGCTCCGACCCCTGCGATGGCCGGGTCTGCCTCCAGGATGAGTCTGGCCAGGGACTCAGCCAAGTCACCTTCCCCTCTTCGGTCCTCCACATCTGAAATTATAGTTTTACTTTTTGGATTTTTGCTCTCGCAAAAAAACAGTCTGGGAAAACTGTTTGGCCACTGATTACCCTAAGAGGTGAAAATGACCAGAACAGTAAAGAATACTGCAATCTCACAGAAAAATGAAGAGAGTAGAGGCAGACTCCTCTGATGACATCACTGACCTGGTGGACGCAGTCCAGAGGAAGACGAGGAGAAGTTGAGTAAAGGGAGGGAGGATGGAAGGGAGAGATGGCCCGCTGAGGTAGGGAGATGGGTGGAGGATGAGTCCTCAAGTCCTCCTAACTCTGATTCTCTTCCCATCCCTCCTCCTCCTCCTCCTCCTCCTCCTCCCCCTCCCCCTCCTGCTCCTAGCCCATCCCGCTCATCAAGCTCAGCGAGGCGTTTGTGCTCCTCCTGCCAGTCGTCATCTGGAAGAGTAGCCAGAAAGAGTGGATGGTTGTATTATGACAGGGACTCATCTGTACTGCTTCTTACACTCCAGAGACACATTAAGTTCAGACTGTCTTTAAACTCATTCACCACCACAGGGGAACACCTGGAGAACACCCGGAGAAGCCTACACAACTCCTGGAAACACAATTTAACCTGAATTCTAGCAGAGAAACAACCTTGGTCACCTTATTCATAGCTAATGTTAGCTATTGTATGCACTCATTTTGTGATCTAGTATTAGTTACTTTTTTCCAGCAAAATACCACGACAACCTCCTAAACACATCTGGCATTCAGAAGTGACTTATGATTGCTGGTATGGGAGCAACAGTCACCCTACAAGGTTTTCTAGCTGATGTACAGCTAACCAGAATCTGGTACTACTGATATTGACCAAAAGTTTTGAGATTGAAAAGAATGAAAAAGAAATTATATTTAGGTGCATCTTTAATAGATCACGCTCTTGAAATGTGCATTAATGAAACAGCATTGGAGCATTAATTGTACACCAACACATTTCAAATTCATTTGTGTATGACTCACCGATGGCCCCAGCTCCAAAGGTGTCGTCATTGAACTGATCAATTTCATCTTCCTCTTCTATCAATCCATCATCTTCCTCCTCCAGCGTACAGTCTTCATCCAGCGACTGCAATGATGGCAGGGAATAGAGTGAGAGGCAGGACATGGAGATGCAGTCAAATAGTGGGCACAAGAAAGTAATGGAAGTTAGAGAGAAGATGGAGGGAGGAGAGAAAAGATAAAGAATCCATGGGGACAGAGGAATAATGACATGAAGCAATTGAAAAAAAACTGTAGCACTACAACTGAAGCAGATGTGTTTTCCATGAACAGGTGCTCTGAATGCAGCTTCCCCTCCACTTTGATTTAGTTGTGCATTACACGAGAATCCATACATGGACACTGTATAAAATACATCAGGAGGTAGTTCTCATTAGTGTGACTAATTTTTACAAAAGAAAGAAATTGTGCTAAGTAAAATATAGGTTTGTCTTAAAATCATATTTTCAATTCTTTTTCATGTGAATAAAACTTTCTCAGTTGGAAAGATTTTTTCTCATCTACTTACAGGCAATAACATATGTTGTAACAGACCTGGTGGAAAACAAATTTCTTCACAGTAATGTGACTGTGTCCAAAAGTAAAATAAAAAGGAGTGAAGCTCGATGAGTGAAACATCTGCTATCAAAAGGTTTATTGGCTTCCAAGAATGGATATATCCTGTGCTGATGATCCAGCTTCATACACTGATGTGGTAGTCGATCATGTATCTACTGTGACAGTTACCAATACTAGCTTCAGCATCATGTATCAAAGAAAATGATAAGTAACTGACACAGTAAATTTCCTCTGTCAGGCCTGCAATTAACTCCTGATACCAAATACTGCGTGTGTCATCAGTTGCTCCAAAGGTATTATAGTTTAATAACTTGCTACAAAAGTAAAGCTGCAGATTTAAGGCCAGTTATACAGAAGATCCCCATACCCATAGATAATTAACACATCTAAACTCTAAATGAACATGGGCTCCCAGTGCACCACTACTCTATAAAACCTGTATGGACAGTTCGACAACACTCGCATTTAACTAATCATCAATCTGCTGCTATGTCCACATGAATCATAGGATTAAGGTTCACGTTGATTTCTATTTAGAACCAATTTTGAATCACTCAATAATTAGGTGCCAAATATATCGAAATTAGCAGCAGGACAAAATTTGCAGTAGCATTGGGCTAATGCACTGAAGTAGTCAAAGTGTGCTAAATGTGTTTTAGACAGTTCACACCTAGCTGAATCCAATTTAACGTTAACTCTACTTTAGTTAACTTCAGCGGTGACTCTGAAAATACACCATTATCACAACAACCAGTTCAGCCAACACATTATTTCTCTCTATGAAGAAGGATACATATACAGATTAACTCGAGACACACGTTTTGAAGCATCACGTGTAGCAGCTAGTAGCTTCTTTTAGAACGTCCACCTTTAAATAATATGAGTAAATATAACCAGCACCTCTCCACGACCCTCCGACACCCTGGAGGTAGCGAGCGAGCCCGTTAGCCAAGATGCTAATGCTGACGTTACATCACTCAGGACACACGTCGATGAAAGACTGCTGTCCTAAAACTACCGACATCGTCTGGACACAGCTGGAAGACCACACACCGGACATTTATAACTTTAATTATTTCACGATGAAACAATACGTTCCTTATCGTCAGCAGGGTGAGAAAGGGCTCACCTTCCCTCTGGCTCACGTCACCAGGCGAGCAGGCTGCTTCACAGGCCGCCAACCGCATTGATTTTACCAGTCGCATAAACAATAGAAAACATTCACCGTGTAAAGCACACGCAGAATGGGCCAACCAACAGCTCTCTGTAGAGAACCTGGCATGAAACTCGTTGGAAGGGACATGAGTTTTAGGACACAACACTCACCTGAAATCGAAACATCTATCTTTAGGCTTTTGGGAAAAGAAGTGCATCAGGAGCGTGGCGGCGCGTAAATGACGCAGCAGCGACGTCCCTTTACGTGTGTTAAGGAACGACGTGACCTAGCACGCAGATAGGCACAGACTGAGGGGTGCTACTGATTGGTGACTGCCTGATTCTTTCCATTGTTTAAAATGAGGAATAGAAGGAATGTAGGAAGATCAGCTGTAAGATACTAGTACCAAAGACCACAGCTCGAAGGACGGGACGATGATTAGGCTTTACTTAAATATGAATGACATTAGCAGTTGTTGTTCTTTTATTTATCACACGTTTTTAGTTGCGGTCTAATGCAATGTCATTCTTTTTAAAGATGAGTCAGTAATTGACACATGTTGACACAATATGTTTAATTATTATTGTTCCAATTTAAGGAAACGCTCGAATCACAAAGTATCATGTTTTAGATAATGTTGTCACGTGACCTCCTTTACCATTATGAATGTAACCTCTGTACCAGTTATACGTGTGTGTGCGCGCGCGCATTTGTTCTGTCTGAATATGTTTTTGTGTCACTGGGTGTGAGGTGATAACATACCTGCTAGTATTAACAAGGTACTTTGTACATAAGTGTGGATGTGTGTGCGTGTGTCAGCCTTAGCCCCACCATGGTTCGATGGCAGCTCTGCTCTCTGGATCACCTGATGAACTCATGGTTTGTTCGTCCTTTCCCGGGACAAGGCCTTCAGTGTGACCTGTGAACTTTTTAACTTTGTGGTCATCATGAAGGTAAGATCAGACCAGATCACAGTCGTTTGCTATGTTAATACATGTCGTTGTTTTTTGTCCATTTGTTCTCATTATTAGTAATAACGATACTGTTTTGAGGAACATTGTTGCAGGACATGAACACATTCATAACCACTTCAGAAACCCATAATATTAATGGAGGGTAGTGTCACTTTTCCCTGAAAACATGTAGGGTAGGCTTGGAAAAGGCTGTTTAGACTTAGTCAGCCCATTTGTGGCCAATTAGGGTGATGTTTCTGTGTTTTATTCAATATATGGTACACATTTATGTATCACTCTTGACATAATTTGGTTAAGTAAAATAAAAGAAAATACATGGTTTTATTTTTTGGGAGTTTTACCAAACCAATACACGGTTAATGTACAAATATGAACATCAAAGGCTCCTTGAGGCACCAGGCAGTGGCTGTAAGAAATCCCCATGGTGAATAGCTCAGCTCTTTGATATGGGCAGTGATTAATGACATCTAAGTTTCAACCACACCAGGAGGAGGGAATCAACAGGGTATATAAGAAGAAGAGAGTTTCACTCTAAGCCAGTGTCTGTGTTCATGAACCCAGCCTCGGTTTTGCTGTATTTGCATATTACAGTAAAATCTCAAGGATTGCTCTTGAATCTGAATCTATCTGTTGTGTCAAAAATCATCAGAAAAAAGCATAAAACCTAAACTATAATAATTTAAAAACTGTACAAGATATCAAAATTTGAATATGACTTTAATATCTGAAAGTCTTTTGAACAGTTTAAAGTTCAAAGGAAATCTCTAGATGAAAGTATGCTGAAGTAGTTGAAGTTCAATGAAGCTAAAGTTTTCTAGGATTTGAACAGTCTCCCTCTTCATTTGAATGGGACAAAAATTGCAAGAAATCTTAATTTTTCCCCAAAATTTTAAACAATATCAAAAAGTTGAATGAAGGAGTAGTTAAAGACCGAAAAAGGGATGTAAGAAAAAGAATAAAGGATAAAGATTTGAAGAACAATAGTGTCAATGCCTCAGCATTTCTTTTATTTTCACTTGCTTGTGCTTTCCATATTACCCATATTCTGGTGTAACTTGTGTGGCTGACCTTGAATACATGACATGTTCATCAAGCTAAAGTAAAAGCATAATGTTGATGAAAGGCAGTTGTTACTATATGTTTATAATAAAAGATGCAGAAACACTGGAGTTACCACTGACTCACTCACAGACTGTGACTTTGCAAACAAAGGCTTTGAAATACATGAGCAAAGATGTATAAGTGTACTGTACTCTAAAGATTAGTTCAAAAAGGTAACACCACTAGATTTATTCCAGACCTCTGAATAACCACCCACATCTCTGTTCACTGGATCAAATAGGTCTGGTGCTGCACTTTGTGGATGGAGAAGTATTCAATACATCCATAAACCCTTATTGGACTTTAACCACCCTATATCATCTATGCTGGACTGGACCACAGGACCAGACCAAACTCACTTACTGTCTTCAAGTCACACGCAGGTTTACTCTGAACTTGAAAATCTGCCTTTAGTTTTTGTGCAGCAAACACACATCACACATCAAATTACATTATCACATTTACAAATCATGTCCAATCAGCTGAGTTTACCACAGGGGGACTCCAGTCAAGGTGCAGAAGCATCTCAGAGATTATCCAGAAAAAATGGAGAAATCTGACTTATAGTAAAGTGTCTGAATACTTATGTCAATGTGATATTTAAGTTTGACTTTTTAATACATTTGAAAAAGTGTCTAGAAAAATCTAAATTTCTGTTTTCACTTCGTTATTATTGGGTATTGAATATAGATTTATGAGGAAAAAAATATTATTATTTTTCATTTTAGCAGAAGGCTGCAACATAACCAAATGTGAAAAATTGAAGGGGTCTGAAGATTTTCTGATCAGTATGCGTGTGCAAAGTTTTCCAGTCAGTTTACCCAGCCTTCAGTTTGATCAGACAGGACTGAAGGCATTCATGTATCCTTCTAGATGATTTTTAATTTCTCCATGCACTCATATGATGTGTGTTAATAAGTTATGTAACATAACTGTTTTAGAAAATGTATATTCATTGGTGAAGGCTTTCTTTCAGAAACGCTTTAGCAAGTCAGATGAGATGATATAAAGAGCGTCCAAACAGGGGACAAAAATGTTTTTTGGTGCACCAAGTGAAACTTAATTCACCTCCATGTGGTGGGGGCAGAAATCTTAAAGGTGGTTTTAGAGACTATGTGTGTTTTCTTCTAATTTTGGTAAATTTACTCTTGAAGCAAGAGCTCTGTGTAAACAGGAGTATTTGTGTGTTAACGCTTCTGTGAATGATTCCAGTCTGTACAAACTCCAGCAGTGAACACAGTGAGTGTGACAGCAGCAGCAAAGCTGGACAAATCTGAAGAGATGAAGATATGTTGTGTCATCTCTCTGTTACTCTCAGCAACCATTACTTTGGTAAATGTGAAAACTTTCTCCACTGACTTCACTCGTGTACCAGAGCCAAAATAATGCCTCAGTGTTAACCAACAAGCCATAGCAACTGTGAGGTTGTGACACATCACCAACCTGAAATACAGGAAAGAGGGCGAAGACAGGGAGACACAGTACTGAATTGTCCACAGGTATGAGTAGAAGAAGGTGGAGCATGCATGCACTTCTACCTATGATTCCTGGGATAAATCACGATCTTGCTCTGCCATCTAAGAAAAGGGACACCAGACTGTGGCTCCCCACTGTATCATTGTCGACCCGAGTGTGCCGACATGAAATAGCAGCCTCATATATGTAGAGGAAGCACGACCCTCATCTAAGAGGGACTGCAGAAACTCCAAAATGATAGAACCGGTGCAATGCACTGGGTCCTCGCCCTGACTTACGCAAAAGAGTTTCAGCAGTCACAGTGCCCCTCGGGCTGCCAGGAAGGGGCACAGCTCTGTGGAGACCCAAGAGCTGTTGTCTGGTCCTTCCGGCCTGGACGTCAAAGTTAGGCGTCCAAGCTCCTTGGATATAAAGGCGAAAGCCTGCAATGAGGCATCACTGAGGCCAGTAATAGAAGTATCTTCCCCCACTTCCTGCGGGGAAGCTGAAAGGGCGAGCATGAGGTGTGAAAGGGAGTTGCCGATCCGCCCCATGTTAGCCGCTGCATCATAACCCCTGCACAACAGATCATCAGTGACCTGACACTGGGGTCAAGGACACCTAGCATCCGATCTCAGAGCCTCATCAGGAGGCACTATGAAGGACGCAATGGCAGGCTCAATAGCCTGCATGCGATCCAGGCCAAACTTGGCTGCATCTTGCATAGCAGCCAAGGATCAGCTGTCTGAAGTAAGATGGGAGCGCCTTCCAGTGTCCTCCCAGCAGTGGCTGGCCTGTGTCTAAAAAAGGCGGTCGGTTCAGATGGCATGTCCAGTTGCAGACAAGCTAGGGCCATGTGGGCGATAGCCCTCAAAGAGCTGACCCCAGTGCCATCCATGGAGCTCTGGTCCAAGGAGTGAGAGCCTGGCTCCAAAACATGGGACACACCCTCCTCATCATCATCTTGAAAGAGGGGGGCCGAGGCTGCTACCGAGACAACGTCTTCCTCAGGGATCAACTCAGGCAAGGGCGGAGCAGGTGTCTCCGCATCCTCTGTCTGATCACCAGGACGGAGGGTCAGGAGAAGAGACTTCATCTGGGCCTGTGTCGCTGATAGCTGCTCCACCTGAGAAGAGAACTTACCCTTCTCAGTTTTTAGCCCTCTTCCTGGAGGGGGCAGATGTCAGAACATTCTGGTATCAAAATTACATTTTTCAGATCAACATCTGGAGAAAATGAACTTTATTGGAGACCTGCCTCTGTCCCACTGCCATACTCTCATGAGATCTGTCAACCGCGGACATCGTTTGCCGACCGATAACGAGATGTTTAGATGGACCAGAGTTATTTTTGGATTGATTTACTTATACATTAAACCATGGATTAAACCTTAAAACTTAAATAAAACTTGTTTCATTGCTCAACAATTGCTAAAACAGATTATTAGCCTATTAAACTGACATGACTTTGTACTGGGCTGATCAGATGTCGTTAGTAGATCATAAACAGCGGTATCGTTGTATTGTCTATTGTTGTATTCTTTTGGCAGGGACAACTCATCCATCAGTTAGTGTTAAAAATGCCCGAGCTTTGTGCAGCAACAGGCTGTAATAACAAGAAAAACTGATCTGTCTTTTCTTTCCCAAAGGATGCAGAGAGGTAAGTCTAGACAGGGAGAGATTTTAATATTAGCTACTGTCACATTTCATGCCAGTTGCCT